ATTTGTATCCGCAGAATCATTCTGTGTTCTAACTAACCTTTTGTTTATCAGAGACACTTGTGATCCTGAATCATATGTTCCATTTATTTGTATTTTGTCTTCTAATAACATATTTATTTTTATCAATGGTGTGATTACTCGTTTTTTGTCTCTTCGCTTAGATTTACTTCTATAACCGAATTACTTCCAATCCTTTTGTTATCTGCCCCTTCTTTTTTAAACCAACAAGACTGTTCTGGGTGGTATCGATTACCCTTATTTAAATTCTGACAGGTTTTGCATGGTTTTTTTCCTAAACTGTATTTCTTATTGTCATCTTTTTCTTCCTTTTTTATTTTGAAGTTTTTATTATTTACCAAACTTTCACATTTACTTATTTCATGAAGCAATCTTGTTGAGGTTTCACACTTTTCAGGATCAATTCTGTTTCTAATAAATTCAGGTAAGCCGGCTGCTATAAGTGTGACCAGACTTTTCCCGCCAATATTTTCATCCATATCTAATAATAACTTTTCTTTTCTAATAGCGTATTCCATCAGTGATCCTTCTTTATATTTGTAAAATATGGCATACATTCCCGAACTCCATCCTTTATCGGCAAATGTGTCCAAAAATTTATTTTTCCACTCGGACCATCTAGCCTCGATTTTCAAAGTCTTCAATGTTGCCGAGTGCCAATCTGCACATGTTTTGTCCAAAAATAATCTTAATATTTCTATCTTTGTTGTATCTTCCTCAATCTCAAATCGTTTACATTCATTCTCGAATATTTCTATCCATTGTTTCGCATTTGAGAATTTACATACAAATTTCTCAATCATGAATCTTTCTGATATATTTTTCAAATTTAGTAGACCCTCTTTCTTCTGTGTGGATTCTACAATATCTGTTTGTTTTTTTTCTTCTTTTAAATATAGGTCGTTAAACATTAAATTATTATCTTCATCAAAATAGGCTTGAATCATTTCTTCTGTACATGTCATCCATATTGTTCTTTCTTGACCTCTTTGATTTAAACTTTTTCTCACTCTTTTGTAGGTTTCTGTTTTTGTTAGTGCTATGTGACGACTCGCGTATTTATCAGTCTCAGACAGTGTATACTTTTTGTCATCTTCTGTTGTAATTGAGGTTATGGCAATCACACTCGTCTTATTGTCAGTTTGTGATGCTTCCAGCTTAAATGCAAACTGCAATTTTTGTGCCATTATAAACAAGTATTGTCGTTTTATAAGACAATAGTTTGTATTTCAATTGCAAGAGGCTAAATAAAATTTCTATTTGTTTCTCTGTAAGTAAAGAATGCAATTTTATTTATCGAGTAGGTTACACACTGATACAATCCTTACAAGACTAACACAAACTCACCTGTAAGTAAAGAAACGACAATAAAAGTTTATTGTTATCACCTCTCGATGCATATAGCTTAACTAAGTATGAAATTAATTAACAAATAAGATTAAAATACAATTCAACGATCTCAGCATATTTGTTCTTTACATCTTTGACAATGACAGCTAGCTTGACGTGACACGACGCGGCTCACTCACGAACTAGCAGTGCGCGCGAATATTCAAATTAAAGAGATCATTCTCTTTACATATATATGTCTACGCACATTATCGTGAGTGTATTTTAATAATTATTTTTTTGACAAAATTATATAATTACATATTTTTTAATGCAATTACATAATTTTCTCGGTCGTTAAATAGTCAGTCGACTTAAGGTCAGTGGTTTTTGATATGGGTGTCCCCCTGTATAGTATAGTCCAATTATTACTGCTATTATTAGATTGATTAAATATAATCTACATTAATATTATAAAGAGGTAAAGTGTGTGAGGTCGTAAGTAATCTCTAGATCGACTCAATCAATTTTTACAAATTATATAACCAATAGAAAGCTATAATAAAAAATAACTTGGTAATTTGTGAGTGTATAGGCTATATACCTGTAAAATTAAAATACTTTTTGGTTGGTAGAGGTCGGATTTGCAAAGTAAGACGGAGAATAAACGGTAGAACGAAAATGATTCTTACGCACACTGTCTTATCAATGAGAGATATGTGGTTGAGTGGTAGAGGCAAGGCAATCTTCATAATGCCTACAAAAAGGGTTTACGTCTAACTTTTTCATTATATAAAACAATTCAAACTCAAAAACGTATGCACTAGTATGTGTTGCACTAGAATTAGTATCAGTGTGCGGAGCGTTGGCAAGCTTTTATAAATAATCAATTATTATAAATATATAAACTCCTATGGTAGGTTTAGGTATATAATTTTTCAAGGTTTACCAGTCACGTCTAATTATCTTTAAGGCTCATTGGTCTCGTGGCTAGTACCCCTGACTGCGAATCCATGTGTCCCGGGTTCGAGCCCCGGCTGAGACAAACATCGATTTGATGTGCATTTGGTGTTGTGCTTAGGTCTTGGGTGTTTAAATATGTATTTATATGTCTATCTATCTATAATATGTATGTATATCCGTTGCCTAGTACCCATAACACAAGCTTCACCAGCTTAGCATGGGAGTAGATCAATTGGTGTGATTTGTCCAATAAAAAAAAAATAAAAAAAAGCCAAACCAAGCTAGGGCGGAACGCTAGTTATTAATACTAGTACTAACGGTTTAGTCTTAAAATTGTTATAAGACCCGTGACATACAGTATAACATAGCTGACAGTGACGCCATTGCTCCGATATATAATTTAGGCACTTAGTGAATTAGAGAAACAATTATTTGTCCGTAGAAACGCAAAAGTCATTTCTTAACTCAATTAACACTAATGTATCCTGTTGAATAGAAAAATAAGTTTTTAAGTAAAGCAGCTATTAAACATAATCAGCCAGTTAGATATTTCGTATGATTACTTCATAAATGATTGTAGCTAATAACAGAGTTTTAGAATTGAAAGCGAAACGGCAATTTAGAATTAACATAATCGTATGGATTAAGCTAGACTAGAAACTTTCGTTACATATTTTACTGGTTACATCCCCCAAGCTCCTAAGTCGTTAATAATTGCGCAATACCATAGAGAATAAACAATTGTAAAATTTTAAAAGAGTAATTAATTTAAAATAAAAGCCTGTTTAATTTCCAATCATTACACAAGTAGAATATACAGCTTAGATTTGTTATACACATTTTTTTCTTCTTGTTATCCTAATATCCTAGCTTCTTTTAGTACCGTTGATCGGAACCAAAAGGACTCATCCAGCTTTTTCGAAATATCTCTGTCCATGGCTTTCTTTCTCTATTCGCTCCTGACGCTTCTATTTCTTCTATTCACCTTTTTTTGGAGTGTCCCCTTTTCATGTTCCCCTTGGTCGTTTCCATATAGTTGTCTATATAATTTATCTACGTCGAATTTGGTGTTTTTCGGTATTTTGAAGTCATTTAAAATTAGTTAAGTCACGTTTCGCTACACGATTCGCAAGGGCCTCTTCAAAATGGATACCACGTTAATGATTTCCACTCACACTGCTAATTTGTGCTGCTCTCGTACTTAACTACGAGCTAAATCGACGTTCAACAGCAATTACAATTGAAAACAGAACCGTCAATCGAATCACGACTTGTTTCATCAATCGTTTAAACGATTTCAATTGAAAAATAGGAGTCAATTTACGGTAATAAGAAACGCGATCAGTTTAACGTATACAGTGAAGTTATTCAAAATGTGGTTTTTGAATTTGGAATACATACAACTTTGTTACCAATGATATGGATTATTCAAAATTTACTTTTGAATTTGGAATACATTGTTTTCTTTTGTTTTTGTCTTAATGTATATCTCTGTCAATTAGGTAATTTTTGTTCTATGGTCGCACGGTGACAGATAATTGGAGGATTGATCGATAAAAAGTATTTTGTGCTATGCCAGTTAAATTGTTATGGAAACAGTGACGTCATAAGCCTAAGTTATTGTTATTCCTATACAAATTTTATTGTGTTAGTCATGTCTGCTGGTTAATTATTTTATATCAGGACATCCTGCGGCCGTCTACTAATGTAGTCTATGAGCAATGTTCGAATTTTATTTATTTATCAATAAGGAAACATGACAGACACATCATAAATACAAAAAATATATAAAGAATTGTTTGACAGATAAGACTTTTTTATATGAGTGTGTGACTCATCAACTAAAATAAAGAGAAATATAACGAAAGGCATGAAATATATATAGACACGAAAATGAATACGCAGCAAATTTAGATTACGAGTTAAAACAATTACAACAAAGATTATTAGGCGCTTGAAAGCAGTATGGGAGCTCGAAAGCATATACATTGAAAAATTGAGTGTTATAGGAATTACCCATTCTATGAATTGGATGTTAAAGTAATCAAATAATTAACTTATTAATGTTTTATAGAGTTTAACAAAAATTCTTCATGTACCCGAAATATTCAGAAGCATCAGAACTGGAAGATTTCTGCAGTTAGATAGTGAAATGCGTCACTCACTGCAATAAGAGCATAGCGGAGGCGATACGATGGGCCCCCCACTCGCATATGGATTTAGAATAGGAATACATATTAGGAAATTTCTTAATATGTATTATTGTACAAAATATGTGTATAAAATTATGCCCCGCACCACAAGACTCGGTGATATTGGGAAAACTAAAATTCTTAGCACTTTTGTTTAATTACTCCATTTTGAAAATAGTTTTCCATACTTTGAGCATTCTCTAATAAAACAGCCACTTAAATTAAAGCTATTATAATTTTATGTTGTTTACGATGAAATTTCCACAAGCATACAGTAAATAAAATATATATTTTATAATCGCTGATAAGTGATACTGCCCGATCAAACATACTGTGTCACCTTTTACTTTAAAGAATACGAATATTTTGACAATGTCGTTTCTGGATTCAACTTATTGATCACAAAGTGACGCATAAAGTGAATTTGATAGCTTGAGCCGGTGTTTGGTTTTCCCAAGTAAATCCTCTTTGTACTGGTAATTGTATACTCTGAAACAAATGACAGAAGTTTTAATGGAAAAGGTATGAATCATTATTGTGAGGCGAATTCACCTCTGAGTATTAGTTTATGGTAATCTTACACTATTAGGTAGACACTAAGCGAGACTTAGCGCTAAGTATGACTTCAAGAAGTCAAAATCTAATATGTTTATGACACACGGTCTGGGTATCTTACCCTAAGCTTTTACCTAATGAGGACTTTAAAGTACGAGTACGCAATAGGACCTGGTTAGGATGACTGTTTGTTATATGTAATTAATTGTTATATATTGTATTTCAGACGGGCGGTGCGGACAGCGCAAGCGGCGGGTCTGGCGGCTCGGGCATGGAGTGCATGCAGTTGCGCTCACCGCCTGGACCTTTCCACTACCTCATCTCGGAGCAAGTTAAATCCCTCGTCGCACTACAGGTTGGTCCATATTACACTTCATATGAATTACGCTATACCATAATTATTATAATAAGCAGTAAAATAATCATCCCTCGTCACTAAGGTCGTAGGTCCTATCCCTAGCTGTGCCCAAATGGATTTTCTATCTATGTGCACATTTAAAACTCGCTACGGTGAAGGTTAACATCTTGAGAGAACCGCCATGCCTGAGACCCAAAATAGTCGACAGTGTGTGTCAAGCATATTCGGCTACTTGCTTATTAGAATACGAAACAGATACAGACATCCAGTATGAGGCCCAGACCTAAAAGTTGTTGTAGCGCCATTGGTTTTTTAGTAGTTTAAATTTAGTGAGATGCTTACAATCTTTTTGTATTATTAAGTATACGACTGTTTGACACCCCGATATTAACCACGTTGGTATAAGATAAATCTAGAGACGTAGTTCAATGCATAAAAGAATCCGGTTTATTGTGACCATAATGTTATCAGATGTTGAAATCTAATCTTGACATATACATAATTGTATTCAGTGTCGTGTTAATGTCCAGGTAAAACATATTTTTATAGAAATTGTTTCACGTATGCACGGGCGCAAACAATCTCTCTATGCACAGAAAAGTAACATATTTCCATGAAGGTTTATACTATACGCATATTACATATATTATTTTTATTTCTTCACATTATTTTGACGTTTAACTTAAAATTTTCAGGAACTCCAGAATGAGGTCGGCGCTCTGCTTGAATTCCGCGACCTCGTCATCGAGACGTTTCCCAACTTACGCTCGAAGATGGCGCCTTCTACGCCGGCCAGTGGCACCCGGCGAGATTGGGAACCTGGCGTCCGCGTACGACGCAAACTTGCCGCTGGCAGCAGTGATTCAACCCGCGCCAAACCCCAACCGTCCGTGCAGGACTCCGGCTTCAGCACCGAGACCTCGTGTAGCAAAGACGCTCATTCTTCAGCTTCAGCGCCATCCGCATCGCGTTCTCGCCCCGTCGAAGACGAATTGTGGGCGCTACTTGACGTCATCCAACGCAAGGGATCCCGGCTGCGAGATGAGGCGGAGTTACTTAGAGGGGAACTCGATGAGAGGCAGTCGGATACGGCGGAAGAGTCGTTTGCCCGCCACTTGTCACATGGATGTGCGGATGCAGATGTTGTGAGACTGAGGAGTGAGAGAGATGCACTGTTGGCTCGCGCCGCTCAGCTTGAAGCATTAGCGGCGACCAGTCCTCCTCCAGTACTCACCACACCGTTAGGAAGACTCGACACCACGTTAGAGACTCCACATAGACCTCCTAGAGTCTCTATTACGGATAAAAAGAAGTTCACGGCGATTCTCCAAGAGAGTAATCCTGTCGAACTGAGAAGACAACTACTATACTCTATCGTACAGAATCAGGTGAGAGATGGGTTTTTATTCGTTGGTATTTTTAAATTGATGCTGTTTCATTTGTTACGAGAGTGAGTGAGTGAATTTTAAATGACATTATGTAACTAGTGTACATTATTATCAATGACCAAGTCAACGTAATAGACGCAATTACATAGATTCATGATGACATGTCGAAATTTCATGTAGTGATTATGTATATGATCAGTGTTTGCACTGCGTTTTCTAATATGAATTACAAGTTGCAGTAGAAACTTTCTCTTGTGACACGAAAATTTCATATAATTCATTTGTTTCTATAATTCCCATAGAAATTTACGCAACTTAAAAAAAAAGGTGTAACAATTGTCAACGACCGCTCCTAATTGCATTTCTAGTGAGGTAACAGTACGTGCGGGTGATAGGGCTGTTATGAATTTAACACAAATCTTTGTTTGTTTTGATATTTATATATTTATTGCTCACTCAAGCTTATCAAACACGATAATTAGGTTTCTTTGTCTCGAATTTATCATTTTTATATTCGTGCCTAATCTGACTCAAGCTGTCATTGAAGTGGTATTAATATACCAGTCTTATCTTTATTCGCACAGAGTCAAAATATATTTACTTAAAACTGGAAAGCTTCATAATCTATTTTGACTGTTGTCTCTGACCAAATTCTCGAATTTTGGGGGGGGGGGTCCTTTTGTAAAGGTTACGATGCGGGGATTGCATTATGCGTTATTGTTAATATTATTTTCGACTTTCCAGTACTTTACACCACATAATGGTAACATTTAGGTATAAAGAGTCACTGGGTGGTCACGAAACGTTTTACTATTGTGTACAGAAAAACGTTCCGGCGCGTTACATGGGGGGTTCCATAATCTCCAAAAATTGCGTGACGTAATACTTTCCCTGATCCAGATAAAGTTGATTCTCTTTTACCGGAAGAAACTGCTCTCTTATTTAATCACAATAACACTGTTAACACAGACGTAAGACATGTATAAAGTGTGACATTCGACACCTTGCAAGGAGCCAGCCCTGGTCCGTTTTGCTAACGAGGTGGCAATGACGTAATCTTTCGCCAAATTATGCGGAACAGTGAAATTAATGGACCGCGGTGGGACTTAGTCAAGCATCACCATTAGCCCGATGTACACAACGTGCTTCGATTCACTATTAATGACTGCCTAGTGTCATAAATTCTGTTGTCTTTGGAGCGGTTTTATAATAACACTATTCACGATATCTACGGACCAATGTCTGAGCTTTTGGCGTCACTTGTATTTCTGATACAAAATGATTAATTACTTACTTCCAATTCTAAGAGTCTCTATATTTGTAATATCTTTAGTTAGGGAACATTCAAGTATTACGTCACACAATTTTTGGAGATTATTGACCCATATTTAAATATATTTTCGAAATATGTTACCCTGAAGAAGGTTTTTACATACAACTATTTAAGCTTATTAAAGTATTTTGGTGTCTAATTTATACTTTGGTGATATTTCAGGTGTACAGTGAGCAGCTAAAGCGAGCGGCCGAACAGCGTTCGTTGCTATTGGAAAAGCTCGATAGAGCCACTGAGCATAACGAAGATTTGAAATTTAGGGTAAGAAAATATATTTAAAACTCAGTTTATGAAAATGTGAAATTCCAATTGTATCTATGCGTGTTTAAAGGCATTATGACATATCTACAATTTTCGTTGGTACGTTGGAATCACATAGGGTTCCAAACATACTGTTTTTATTGTAGATTTTAACTGTAATTGCAGAACGGAACTGTCTCTTCTAACTCCTTAAATTAGTAAAAAAAATATATTGTATTCCAAAACACTTCTTGAATATTTATAAACGAAGGCTGTGACGTCAAACCACGTTTATTAAATAATCATAACGTCATCAACGCAGGTACAATAAATGACGCGTCATTCAGTGATAAATTTATCGATAACTGGATAGGGTAAGCCACGCTCAAATTCCGATCTCTATCACTAATTATATCGATAAAAGTTTTTGTTCACTTTTACGCTTGTAATTAATTGCCGTTTCATTTTCACTTTTATCTGCTTTGACATTATCAATTCATTGGAAAACGCTGTATTAAAGGCTGTTACACAATATATAATACAATGCATTTTGGATTTTGCAAGCTTCGGATATAAAATCCAGCTTAAACACTATTAAACATTTCAGCTTGAAGAGAAGAGTGTAGAGCTTGACAGCATGAAATCTAAACTTCAGAAGAATAGTAGCGAGAGTCTAGAACGTCGCGATCACAGTAGCATGCGCGACATGGAGCCTCTGAACATGCCCGATGAGGCCAAAATTACTGAGACGCCGCGCCGCAAGCCTAGCAAGATCCCCCTCCACACCGCTCACAAGGGGGCAGCACCGCGGCCCCCCCTGCCCTCGGCCCCCCCCTCGACCATCCTCGGCCCACAGCAGCCGATCGGCGAGGTCGACCACCTCAGCTCGCAGCCGGACCTCAAGGGACACGTCGACGGTCAGCCGAAAGGAACACAAGTCCGCCGTTCCCGTCCGACGGACGCCGGACAACAAGGTTCGGCAATTCTGGAACAACTGGTTCCCCTTCACCGATCGAAACTAACAGTGCCCTCTAGTGCTAATACCCGTGTGATTGCACCCGTGATATAACGGTAACGGTCGCCGCGACATGCCATTATGTCGATCGTAAGTTTTCTTTTCATTTTGATTTTTTTTCTGTGCTGGAAAGGTGGTTTTGTTTGTAAATTTTCATTAAAAAAAATTTAGGTGCTGGCAACCAACAAGGGTAAACAACTAAGTGTAACCTTGTATTAGAATATTCAATTAATTAAAACGAAGTGTTGAAGTCCGAGATATTTTGATATCATATAATACGTATATATGTAGAATCATAGGAAAAAGCAAAATCACCTTTAACCACACTGATGTAGTTATAGTAGCTTCCAATCATAAGTAGAATAAAGCATGATACTAACGAAACTAACTTTCATTCTCATACTCTCCATTGTTCTAACTTTCATGCTGAGGTAAGTATGGTTTTTGTTTAAAATTTGTGTTATAATTTTATAATAAAATGTTTGTAATTAAATAATTTAAATTAATAATTTGTTCTTAAATTAATAATTTGTTTTGAAGTTAATAATTTTTTCTCAAATTAATAATTTGTTCTGAAATGATAATTTAAATGTTTTTGAAAATATTATTTAATTTATTTTATTTGCAGTGTCTTCCTCTGTGCAACAGCTTTAAGTGGTATGGGTCTAGTACATTGTTTTTTAATATTTTATGCATATACTTTGCTTGCTTGACACCCTTGCTTCTTGTTTAACTAACCATTTTTACAGTATGTAACGAAAACCTTTTTCGGTACAATTTACTTTTAATTCTCGAGCTTCGTATCCATCTCTTTTTGTCAAATTGTGTTTACGCTGTGATGAAAAGAGACAGTAAATTTGTTGAAGGGTGCAATTAGACCCATATACTTTTTATTCTTTATCTCTAAAATTGTTGGGTAATAATACTATGAAAAAGCTAAATAATATAGCACTTATTCTGGATATATATTCCATGGGTTTTTAATACATACTGTAATAATGAAATAATTTATAAAAATATTTAAGCTTGAATTTTAACCAATTTTTATGTACTTTTTATTACACTTTAGGTATTACATTTATTTAGTACATTAATTAAACATATTAATTTGTTTGCACTTAAAAATCACCTCATTTCACTATGCTTATACGTAGTTTATAATTATATATTTAATTATATTGACATAGTGGCATATCGGCTACTAACCAAGTCACTTTAAACACTTGGCTGATGCACTGTTGGACAAAAATATTACGTATCTTCATAAATAATTTGACTTTTAAATAAAGTACTCATTTCCCTGTAAAATTCTACGAAGATCAGTGCCCGTACTCTATAACTCAATAATGAACTTAATAAAGCAGTTTTGGCCTATTGGTGTCAGCGTGTGACTTTCATATCTGAGGTCATAGGTTCAACCCCCAGCACCAATGGACTTTTTTCTATGTATACTCGCTCGTAAGGAAGAAAAACCGGCATGGCTTAGACCCAAAAAGTCGACGGCGTGTGTAAGGCACGGAAGGCTCATCACTTGCCTATTAGAAAAAACAAATGATCACGAAAGAGATACAGAAATCTGAGGGCCAGACTTAAAGGATGTAGCGCTACTGTTTTTTTTTTAATTTGGAATTAGAAAAGTTCAATATCGTCAAAGTTGTGTTGATTTATACACAGATATTATAATTCGAAACGGCGAAGATATTCGTCAAGCTAGCTCAGCTCAGCATAGATGGCGCAATTTGCATAATAAATGGATATTTTTATGTCATAAAATAATAGTGTTTATCAATCTCTTAAATACATATTCTAATTCGTATCTCAAGGCACAATCTTGCCTTGAGCGCTGTCAAATATGTCAAACTACACACAGAAATAAAAGGGTTTTGACAGCTCTAGATTTAAGTTTGATTGACATTCTTATTTGTGCATTAATTATGTACATTTGCAAATTTTTTTTAAGAAATTGAGTTTTTGTAAATTATTGAGAGTTACAGAGTACGGGCACAGTATGGTGAGAATTTAAAACATTGCAAGACGACATGTTGCGTTTGATTGTAATTGGTCAATTGTCAATAAACGCATCGTGTCATGTCATCCCCATTAAACGATTGTCGTTTCGTTTATCGTTAATTTTTAGGAGAGTTCTCTCCGTTGTACGCTCTTGATTTGATAACTAGCAGTACGTTTTGATGAGTTTTTCTATAAATTATATTTTTTAAGTCTAATTACAGACACGTAACACAAACCGTCTTTCTGTTGACCAATCACAATCAAGGGAAGTCGTTTCGTCTTTCCTTTTACATTCTTAACCAAGTAAAAATTTACTGATTTTGTTTTTATGAATAAGACCACAATATATTTGTTATATGTTGGGTTTTTCCAGTGCTTTAAGACCTTTCTACGGAATTAACCTAATATTGCGTTTATTCGTTTAATAATTATACAATAATGTACCACGTCCACTAGGTAGACGTAAAATGTCATTTGAGTCTTGTCACTTAACACTTACAGCTTATAAATCGGAATTTCTCACGTTTTGCACAGATAGTTGTGTTTTATTAGTGTATTTGGAAGAATTAACCGAGCATGTGTGTGAGTGATGTGTTTTAACATATTTGTACTATTTAAATCATGTTACAACAAAAACCGGTGAACCGATTCAATGAAATTATGCCAGGGGTTTAAGGAATGTAAATTGAAATTTTAATAATACTTTGTTATTGTGTATCTGTATTATTTTATACAGTATATTTACAAGTGATAACGAATGTGCTATTTATTATATGTTTATGAGGGTTAATATTCTGGAAATTTGTAATATTTGTATCTTGATACTTTCTTATATGATATTTGACACGTATAATGAACTTTAACATAACTAATTCAAACTAACACGACTATCAAACTACTGTTAAAGGTTTTGCAAAATTTATTTATAAGGAAAATCGTTATAAGTACTTTCCTTTTTAGAAGAAATTTTAAAATTTGTTAAACCTTACATCGGAAACCTTAATTTAAAATAATCATATATACACTGCTTTAATTTATGCACTATGTCTCTTGTCGTTAAAACATTAAGACCGTTTGACTGAAAGAGACAAAGCATTTTAATTCAAACAGTGCGAATAGATTATTTAATAAGACGTTTCCTAGTAATTGTTGATTTTACATACGTAATAATACTTTAATTTTCCTACAGAAGCAAGATGTGCATGTGGAAGTGAGTAGCGAGGCCGACCGCTACCGAGATTCCCTTGACGCAAAGCGGATCGAAGCTGGCACCCAATTGGTGGCCGAATATCTAGCCAGAACCGATCGCTTGGCTCCTCTATTCCCCAAACTACACACGGTGAGAACACGGCCCCTACCAGAAAACCTCCTACAGGATTGCCGGATCGCCTACGAAACCCCACAGAACTTAGCACTTGAGTTATCGAAGAGCATTCTATACGATAACTCAGATTCGATCGACCTGAAAACTCTGAATATCAATTCCGACGCGTCACTGTGGGACGGCAAACCTCAACAGTACTTTGAAAGTATGAATGAGAATTTAAGGGAATTCGATGATGATTCACTCGCTTCCTAAGTGAGTCTAAAGTTAATTAATAATCTGTGCAATCATAGATTGTAATCTGTGGATTTTCGCCCATAGATATTAAAATGTTTTTGATTTTTAAATATTTCGAATATTAATTGTGGGCACGTGAGTGTAAGACAAAAATGCTATAATTGAACTGATTGAATTGCATTTGCTTGTTTTTTATGAATTTTCAGCATGTTTGTACAAACATTTCGAATTTTTCTGTAAGTATGGTTTTTTTAAATGCGTTAGTGAATTCTCTGTATATAGTAATATCTGTGATAATTTCACATTATTGGTTTTTTGAATGTGTATGAAATTAATTTAAATTTATCCTTTAATTGCGGATGTTAATTGCTGTTAGGTAAATTGATGATACCAATATGAGATAATTTTTTTCAATATAAGCAGTCATTCCTAAGCCTTTGGCTAGACTGTGAAGGGTATGTTTGAACGAGGAAGGCTGTGAAATAGCGTAAATGCTATCGCTATTAGAGGTCGAATAAATTATAAGTATATTCGTAAGCTGTCGCATAAGAAAAAAAATCTGTACGCCTGTAAAAAAGCTAAATTCATAAATTAAGTATAATTAAATGTTGTAGACAATTTGAATTGTTCGTCAAAAAGATTAGTGAAATTTTTTTTTAACATCTACTGTGCTATGAAACAGCTTACAGAATAACGGTGACACGGTAGCTTCGTTATCTAGCTTAACGTCCAAACGTCCACGAGTCCTTTACGACTTTCTAGTGGGCTATTTAAAGGCTATTTCTTTTTCTACTAAAAAATATCAAAAAAATTCAGCGATACCTATATAGAATAATCATTTTAAAATGTTACACAATCACAGAAAATTATTTTTATTTTGTTGTAAAAAAAAATTAAGAATACCCTCATTTTTGTATTTAATACTTTACTAGTGAAAAAGAAATAGACCTAAGCTTGTTAACACGTAGGAGACTGATTTTGTATAAAGACAAGTTTACCATTAAAAAAACTCCATTAAGATATCCTAATTATTATTTTTATTGTAAATTGCTCTATTTTGTTTAATGCTGTAAGTAATATTCCATTTCTTCGACTGTATTTTATGTAAATTAAGAATTAATTTAGCAAAATTTAAGATTAAATGTACAGCTTCATGCTATGTAAATTATTAAGAAAATATATAAATTTAAGTCATTTATGATGGACTTGTGTAAAGTTGTACAGAAATCATATCATTATATACAAATTACTTAAATAAATTGTTCATATCAATTTTTGTTTTATTTCAAACGCGCGACCTTGTTCACCTTCGCACGTCTGGACGACTTTTTAAAATATTTTGAAAAATATACTCATGAAAAGTTACTCAGGGATAATGTAGCAATAATAGTGAATTTTTTAAATTGGTCTAGTAGTTATGATTTTATTCTGTGAAGAAGAATATATCTTTTCTTTTTTATAATGTTGACGTTATTAGATCAACGGTTAAAACAAGTAAAGTATAGTTTCCCTGAATACGCAGCTGTAAACTAACAAATGGGAACCGTATATTCTCGAGAATTTTGGGATCGTGACCCGACTTCCTGGGGTCGACACAGCCCACACGGCCTGGAAGTTGCCGAAGATATATATCTCGTGTCATATATTTTGACGCCATGCAGACGCTACATTGCATTCAGGTTTATGAAACTGTATACGTATACTCATGTGATTTTATTATATAACCCTGATTTTGCAAGTTTACGAAATACTATCGTATGACAATATTTCCATTAGAAAAGACAAAGCTATTCTATGACGAACTCTGTATCCAGAATATTGCCACATTAAAAGTTCATTATAATCATTTGTTGCGATGTCACACTGTTTTAAATAGTTACTTACGACTTTTAATCGCTTTATTTGGTTCCACAGCTCGACGGCTGGAGGTTCGACATTTCTTAGTCAAAATGACAAGTTCAAAAATAGTATTGATACGTAGTAGTAACGCTGTCTTTTTGGAGATCATGCAATTATCCAAGTTCAGTAACAATAGGTGCAGAGTGGCCCTAGGACATAGGGCTTTGAAGATTTGCAGGCTGTGTCGCCGCATTTAAGTGATTTAACTTGTACTGCTAGATCACTCTATCTGATCTTTACCGGTACTCTGGGACTTCCAACTGCGATACCGTTTCTGAATACAAGTTCTCTTAATATCCGTAGTTCTGAAGTAGCATCATTGAGATTGCGCGTTAGAAATAACTCGGAATCGCTTTCACTATTGCGAATTCCACAGTACCGGCACTGTCGAGAATTCTTGGTGTTCAGCTACAATTTGTTTTTATTTGAACCAAATAGGGAGATTATTACGCCAAAACATATAGTTCTTACTTGACTTTGACATTTTGATGAAAATTGTGTTTTCTGGAAAGTTTAGATTCAGATAAGTTTATAAGTCTTCCGAATTAAGGTTTAAATAAAAATACAAAACATCTTACTGACAATTTTAATATATTAAAACTAAATTACATACCTACTACTAGTGATCAATAATAATCCATACAATACTTGAATCACGGGTAATGATTTCACAGGCAAGCTACATCAGTAGAAAAACGTATTTACATTCACATTTTATTTGATTAAAGGCAATTTGAACTCATAAATTGTATCGCATATCGTCACGTCACGGTCACGCTTTTTATAAAGAACAGGGGGCAAACTGGCAGAAGGCTCATCTGATGTTCAGCAATACTGCCGCCCATGGGCACTCTTAATGGTAGATGGCTCGCGAGTGCGTTGCCGGCCTTTTAAGAATTGATACGCTCTTTTCATGAAGGACCCTAAGTCGAATTGGTTTGTATATACTTCAGTGAGAAGCTGGTTCGCACACAGTAGCATTGGGCAGCAACGTCAATCGTCGAGGTCAACACATGTCGCAAAGAATTTTGTCCCAAGTTTTATAAGGTCTATAATATAATCATGTCCCTACTTTATTTTGTGCAATTATGAGAAATGATTTGCCCGCTACTATGTGTGACTGACAAACAGCAGCAACAGGAGATATCACGACTGATGAATGATGATAAATCGATCCTTTAAGAGCGGATTTACTACGAAACAGTTAAAGACCATTTGTAGCCATTGTCTGAGGAGAATTTATTGAAATCATGACAAAATTTAGTTACTATTGTCTTTTTTAACGGCTCGGAGTAAACTTATAAACATTTAAATATAATACATATGGAATCAGAAGTAATAAAAGCAACAGAACAATATTTGGTACACTGCGTTTAATCAAACTAAATAACATTTGGTTTTTAAAATGGAGCCTTTACAAATTCTCAACTATTCTTAACCAATCATGTCAAAACTATCTAATACATTGTCGAGTAAGACAGAAAGATATATCCTCTTATTCATAAACGTTTTTTCAGGAATTCCTAAAAAAATTTGGGCTAAAAGGGCCAGCCTTTTCAAACGTAGCCACAAACAGCTATATAATGTTTTCCACAATATTTTCATACATAAGAATAAAATTTATGAATACTGTTTACAATTACTAAACCATGTTTTTCAGAACATCTCAATATTTTTCGATTACAGAAAAGGCCTACTGGCCTCTTCAAACTCAACTTTAACAGTCATAGAATGTTACAGACAATTTTAATAAAATAGTTTGGGAATTTTTCAATAAGACGATTTTAAATGAATCAACAAAACGATTTTTTGAAGTGAAACTCCTTTATCGAGGTTGGAAAAAAATTTAGTGTAACATTTTTTCGTTACGCGTCACATTTTTCGGTTACGCGCCATGTTGCTTTTTGAAGTCAAACTTCTTTATCGGCGTTGGAATGAAACTTCTTTATCGACGTATGGGAGAAATTTTGTAGTAAATCGTCACGTTTTTCAATGATAGTAATAATTCTATTACAATATATGAAATTCTATAATAATCTTCGTAGTAATAAGGTAAAATGAAATATTTGTATTCATGTCTATGATAATAAAAGCCTTTTGTTAAACTTTATCTAATTTAACGAATTTCTGTAAAGTTGCGTATAGTAGATCATTTTTCGAAAAATAAGATCATAAAGAAGTTTCACTTCTTACATGTGTACACCTAGTACACGCACAATTTTTTTAGAAATCTAACTTTTGGATTACATAACCCTTACCGGCCTTTTCAAGTTCAGCCTCAAATACTTAGAATGTGCTGTTAATTTCAGGACAAAATTAATAATATATAAATTATTTAAGGGCAAATATTAATTATCTATTTGGTTACGTTTATGAATAAGACTATATTCAAGTGTTTACAAAAAAGCTAACCGTTTTCGGAAATTTAAAATTTAGATTACTGATACGCCTTACCGGCCTCTTCAAATGCAGACTTTAATCTTTCCAGAGTCGTTCTATTTAAATCGGTATCCTTTAAACCACTCTTGAACGCTTCGTCCGTGACCGCTTTCGCTAAATCTAAATTATTGTGTACCAAATGTAGATTAATTAATCGGGAATATGCGTTTCCGAGCGTTGAAGGAAGAATAGTAGGATTAGTTTTAAGGTAGCTTATTAATTCTTCGATAAGTTTAGGTTTACTTTGTATGTGACTCTCTTGGAGAAGTCGTCGGAAGACGAGGGATTCAGATTTAATTAAATACTTCTTCCATATAGCGTCGGCCTCCTCCTTCTTGTCGGCGATTAGGTATTCCAACCATAGAAGGTTTAAGGGGAGAGTTATGCCTTTGGAAGCCGATATTTCCGCTATTTTCAAACCTGAAAAAATACAAATAAAAATTGGAGAACTGGCATTTAAAAGTAGAGGATCACAGTTCGTTTTTGGATCTTTAATATTTACCTGTATGTATGAACATTAATATCGGGAAGAAAATATCTACAAATATAGTCGTAGCCAAACCTAGACGTCTAGAGTCTATGATACCATATTATATACGTAGTAAGTACCATAGATTATAATTCATGGTAATATTTAATTTACAGTATGTGTACCTTTACACAAGTTAAATTATAAAGTTACAATGTTAAAACATTCAACAAAATGATACATGGATGTTAAAGAAACATTAAAAAAAAATAATGAAACATACTGAAATTGTAATTACCCATTCAAAGACATTTCAACAATATCCAATTAATAAATTAATTATTGTTTATGTACTTGACAGCGGATATATTAATGATAAGACGGAAAACATAACTATCGTATGAATGAAACCCTTGGTCTTAGCCTCAGATTTCTGTATGTTTCATTGATCATTTTTTTAAAGTAGCAAGTGATCACTGATCAGCATACTTTGTCTCGGATCAGGTCAGGTCTAAGTAAACTAAACAAAACAATCTAATTTAATATAATTTGTGAGATACATTGTTTTCATGCGAATGTCAATCTATTTTTTTAAATCAAGATTTCTAAAATTGATATAGTCACTATAAGTTAGGTTAGCTAATTACCTAATAACTAGATAGAAGGTCCCTTAAGCAGGAATTAATTGCAAGAGTTTTTTTACCTGTTATGTTTTTGATAATATGAATGTGTATAAAACAAGATTGCAGATATAAATGCATTAATAATAACTCACATTTTTTGCTCAATTCTTCATTAGAAACAGCAGCGGCCAAAGCTTTACTCCTTGGGAACTTCGTTAAAACTGATTTCAACTCATCCGGTGATTGCGTCGCTTCAACGGTCAACAACAAATTGCTCACATGTTGATCACCACCACCTCTATTGAATATCGCGGCCGTCATTTTATCATCATAAGTCACTTTCCTCCTCATTTCCTCATTGATATATCTCCCCAACATCTGAATTTTCTCCACACTCCCTTCGGCGGCTAGGCTCTTCAGTAAATACTTTATAATATTCTGTCTGGGCACGACGCCATCTTCCACCGATTTGATCGTGAAGTCCACAGCTTGGGATAGGAGTCCGTCGTTTATGAGTTTTTCTATCTGTTCAGAAATACCACGTTTGGTGGGTTGCACTGGTTCTTTTCGGGTTGCTAATGTCTTTATTATCGCTTCATCTTGTTTCTTCTGTACGTTTGTGTTAGGCTGTGGGATTACGAATGGGACCTCTTTGTTTTGCGATTTCAAATGGTTTCCGAGGTAAATTAGGAATTCGTCGGTGGGAATTTCTCCTTCTTCTTGTAATGTGGTCCAGAGTCCAACGGCTTTGTCAGTTTCGTTTGCTTTGCAGTATGTTACTAATAAGTGGTAGAAAATGTTAGACCGATCCAAAATGGACAAGTCTCTAGTCGCTTCTAGAAGTCCTTCGAGGTATTCAGACTTTCCTTCCTGGAAATTATGAATAATAAAATAAGTAATTATTTGAATAGGTGAATACGTGCACTGGCAGGTACATAGTTGCTTAATAACTAGTTTTGTTAATAACCCATGTAAAACGTGAGAAAATATTCAAAAGAATCTATATGTATTAAAAGTCTTGTCTGAATAATAGACCATTTTACATAAAAATAAAACCGATATTATGTGCCGAGAAGGAAAACATACAGCATTGTATAATGAAGAAGCAATGTATACTTAGCCATGAAGTGCGATACATACCGAGTGAAATAGTTCCTCTTAGATAGAATAGATGGCGCTGTAATCGCCTCAACTTCATACTTATCTTAACCAGCTAGGACGTTGTCATTTCCACAGTCATAGAGTCTTCACCAGGAAGAGCTTCCTACAATGCTGTATGTTTTCCTTCTCGGCACATAATATCGGTTTTATTTTTATGTAAAACCGTCATATTGATGTGCCTCCGGAAAACATACAGCATTGTATAATGAAGACGTGTTTGTTATCTGCTGGTGGATGTATAAAGTACAGTATAAAACACAATGCTATGATGATTATGAAGAATTAAAGTCAGGGCTTTAGCTAAAGCCGTTATTGTTTATATAACAATTTTATTTACTTGCCAATATTCTTAACCAAAGCATAAGTATTTAGCAATAATTATTATTCTTAGTTACGGTATACATATAACTATATTGATTGAGATGTACAATTAACATAATAATATAAACTTCCTATCATCACAACAAGGTATTTCTATAATTACGATGGTGCAAATGTATTGAAGAAAGAGTGATGAGTTTTCTCTACAAGAGTATCTCGCGGCAGTAATGATTAAAGAATGTATGTACTCGTATTTGAAGATTTCCAATTACCCCGTGTAATAAAAATATTCATCTATTGGTTGATTTTCGACCTAATTATTGTGCTGTTGATGGATATAAAAATATTGTTTAGATTTTTTACTTGAGATCTTGTACCTGTTACTCAAAGCAATTTTTTTTTTTTTTTTACAAATGAAGACAGTTCACACCAATTGACCTAGTCCCATGCTATGCTGGTGAAGCTTGTGTTATGGGTACTAGGCAACGGATATACATACATATTATAGATAGATAGACATATAATTACATATTTAAACAACCGAGACCTAAGCACAACACCAAATGCTCATCACATTGATGTTCGTCCCAGCCGGGGATCGAACCTGGGACCCATGGATTCGCAGTCAGTGGTACTAACCACTAGACCAATGAGTCGTTAGGACTAACTGAAGTCTCACTAAAGTGATAGGGCATATATTTTTATCGTAGTGTTTAGAAAGTTTCCATGTTGACTGGCGTCTTGAGTGTCTGTCTTAGATCCGAATACCGGTGTTAAATAAATGTTACCACCATCATCCACGAATTACTCGTCAGTAATTTCAAATAACGTGAAACCTGCGGCCCAATGCTAAATGCAATACTGTGGCTGTTCTGCGAGCCGTATCGAATAAAGTGTCCCTAGGAGGGTTGGAAGAAAGCCAGTCTAGTACTATTCGCGGGTCCCACGTGACGGATGATTTCACGGCTTTTGGTTTAGCTACTTTTAATACCCCGAGGGTGTATTTAATAATACAATTTGAAAATGTTTTTTGTTCTACATGGGGACCGCAAAAAGGTAAAACTGCCGATTTGCGAACAAGAATGGTTGAATAGGATAAATTCTCTTTTAGAAAAAGTGATATTAAATTTTAAAGTGGACAAGTTGGAGTGACGCCAACTCTTCAAAAGTAGATCTTTTTCCTGTGTGGACCAGTCTTTTATTTGGGCACCCCACCCCCAATTTCCCAAACATTTAGGGTCAATGCTTGTATTTGTGGAGGAGGCAGTGCAGTTGTCGTACCTAGGAGTGTCTCCGATAGGTGTTGAATTTCGTGGGGGTGATCTAGAGACTGGATTTCAGGTCCTGCAGAAAGAAACCTCGCGGCCAATCTGAAACAACTGTCAGATAGGTTCGCGTCACCCGGTTCAGGTGTGCTAAACTCAGGGTAACAGACTTGGAGGGGGGAACACCCATGCTAGAGGAAGAAGGTGCCACTACGCAGCCTTTTTTTTTTTTCCCTTTATAATCTGTCTGCTATGATCACCCTGGTAGGTAATGTACCGACAGAGTTATGTTGAATTTGTCCGTCAGGTGCAATAGTTTGAAGGTTAGTGTAAGTAACCCTATCGGTTTCGTTTCACCTTCTTTTTGAATGTATGCAATCAGAGTTTCATTTGGCCGATTGTATTAACACGTGTGTGTTATGTAATATTTTTACATTTATTTTTATTGCGGCTATCACTGCATGTAGTTCCTTTTTGTTGCAGTGCCACGTTTTCTATTGGTATGACCATTTTCCTGACAAGGTTTCCGTCTAGATGTGACCCCCCCCAACCCCAATCCGAGGCGTCCGTCGCTAGGAAGTGGGTTGCAGGTTCTTTGTGTATAGGCGTCGTCTGATGAGTAGCTCCGAGCCACCACATATGTTCCTGCCCTACAATCTGAGGCAGCAGTTGACATCGACGAGGTCGGATCTTGTTGAATTGTCGCAGAAAGATCTGTACCTGACGACAATGAAGCCTCCCTTGGGGCACGAAAAAGTTTGCGAAGCTTACTTGTCCTAGCAGACATTGTCACTCGCGAATACAACGCATAACTATGGTTTATGCGCTGTATTTTTACCTTGGGTAGCGACATCACATTGACCGAAGTATTCCAGCGAATTCCAAGGTATTCTCAATTTTGGATTGGTACCAATACGGATTTTTGGTAATTGATTTTCCAACCTAGGTGTTCCAAGTGTCTCACGGCCTCCGCGGCCTGAGAATGTAACTTGGAAGGTGTTCCAAGTGTCGCTCGGCCTCCGCGGCCTGAGAATCTAACTTGGAAGGTGTTCCAAGTGTCTCCCGGCCTCCGCGGCCTGAGAATCTAACTTGGAAGGTGTTCCAAGTGTCTCCCGGCCTCCGCGGCCTGAGAATCTAACTTGGAAGGTGTTCCAAGTGTCTCCCGGCCTCCGCGGTCTAAGAATTTAACTTAAAAGGTGTTCCAAGTGTCTCACGGCCTCCGCGGCCTGAGAATTTAACTTGGAGTCGTCTTGGTTGACCAGAAGGTAGTCGTCTAGGAAGACTAGCACTCGACACCCCTTCGCACGTAAGGTCTCCGCGACCCAACATGATACTGCAGAGAAAAGGTGTGGTGCTGACGCTAGCCCAAGGAACGCTAAGGAAGGCAAGTCATATTTTCGTATAACTGCCCTTTTTAACTGCGCCTTAATAAACCTAATTAAATCGTCGGTGTGATCTCGCTGCCGGTAGATGGAAATAGGCTTGTGATAAATCTATTTATCATCCAATCCCCTGGTTGAAGAAAGTCTGGGACTAAGCCGTGGGAGATCAACCGAAAATGTTTTGTCTTCACGAATCGGTTTAGTTCTCGCAAATCTACAATAGGACGCATCGTGCCGTCGCTTTTCCTGCGAAGAACCATTTTGGATATAAAGTGAGTGTTTTGTTGAGAACTGTTTGTAGGATACCTTGCTTGAGGAGTTTTTTGATTATCTGCGATGTGATACGAATAGATACGCAGGTGACGGTTCGGTTGCATATTCACTTACTATTCGATTTGTTGGCATTAACAAAGGCGGTTTCTTGTACAGAGGTATGCGGAATCCTTGAATTGTGTTGGATAGTAATTTTTTACCGTCATTGTTAGATAACGGGTAGTTTGATTTTCCTGTTAAACGTTCGCATCGTTTCTTGTTTTATGTAGGTATTACGAAAATTATTTTTTTCCATTTTGTCTGGTGTCTTTATTTGGATGTAGATACTGACGATTCTTTGTAACTAGGTTTATAAAGCTCTCTTACTCTTGAAGGTTGCGGCGGAGATAACCATAACTGCGGCCCACCAAGTGATTGTATGAGGGACGCGAGCTTATTTTTGTCAATTAATAAACCTTGCTATAGGAGGTACATTACTAAGCACAGTTTGAATACTTTTGTCCGAAATCTCACTTATTTAATCTTTTACGCGTAGTTTCTATACATTCCGCTCGTTTTCCGCATACAATTTGCAGGGTTTGTTCATGCAATTTGTGAGAAGGTGATTCATTACCAAAAATATAGGATATTTTTGTGAAAAGATTAGCGGGTTTTAATTCCGTTGGGTTATTACGAGTCCAGTTTATGATTTTTTGTAATCCAGATTGTAGTAATTCCCTTTGACATAAGACAACTTATTACGTCTTTAATTTTGAGGTTACAAAAGCCTGGAGACGTCAGCATGTCTGCCAGGGCTTTTTTAGATCTAATATGTTACCACATGGGAGTATTAAAATGTTGGAGTTTTATAAGCTCAATATATTATTATATTTTTATAATTTTTATATATTTATTTTGTAATATTTTTCCCGGTCGACGGATTAATAAAAATTCGCTATAGTAGTTGGTCGGCCGGTGGGTACCCTCGTCATTGGACGCACTGGCGTTGACATTTGGTACATATTGTTGATGCATTATAAAATTTGTGAGGAAACTCACCTGATTATATAACGCGTCGATCATGGGATCGACCGTTACCTGTGCTACTCGTTTCCTTTTCTTTCGTGGCGGTCCCTCGCGCTCCGAGTCGCTTACAGACGCGCCGCTGGTGCACGTGGAGTCCTCTTTGTCTTGTTCGTGACCTTGCTCGACACTTATTTGGACTACCTGCCTGATTGGCCCCGGCGGCGGCCTTATCGGCATCGTGAGTTTATTACGCACTTGTAATGTATAAATAATACGTTTTGCTAATAATTAACACTAAGAAAGACCATAAGGTTTTAAGTCGTTATTGAGTCGTTTCGGTTTCGACCGCACGCGGCGAAAGTACACAACGCTATGACTGTGGAAATGACAACGTCCTAGCTGGTTAAGATAAGTATGAAGTTGAGGCGATTACAGCGCCATCTATTCTATCTAAGAGGAACTATTTCACTCGGTATGTATCGCACTTCATGGCTAAGTATACATTGCTTCTTCATTATACAATGCTGTATGTTTTCCGGAGGCACATCAATAGACCATTTTAATGTCGAAACGTTGAGTTTTTTGTATGGTTTTTTTAATTATTTCACAGAATAATACAAGACACTGTGGTTTGTACTAATGTAACAATAGCAGTCTTGTTATGAGCGCGAAAAATAATTCTTCAACTTTTTTTTTATGTTATTCAACGTTAGGACATCCAATAAGCATGTGTTTTTCTGTTTACCTCCTCATATCTTCTGCAAGCTTCATCGACCCTTCGTCGTCTGGCCAATAACCCAGGTGTCTCCAGAATTCTCCTGGCCTGGCGCAGTCGGCCACATTCTACGAACGCCAGCACCAGGTCGTGGAGGATGTTGATCTCGCCGTGAATCTATGAAGACGAAAAAAATTATATGTCTTATAGTGTTTTCTTATACATTTAATACATGCAATACAATACATTTGATTTCAAAGATAGTTTTTAAGTCAAATTTACTAATTACCATGGGACCTGTGTTGCCCTAAAATTATGTTGAAATAAATCAAAATACCAATCGTAGATTATAAAATATGACAAATAAATGCGTTGCTTAACGATTTGTACAAAATACAGCAGTTCAATAATAAAATAGTAATAATATCACTTATTAAATTTTCTTAACAAGTACATAACTTCTATGATATTTTCATTGTAGCTTCGGCATTTAAGTATCGGCGGTCAAAATTAAAAATAACTAAGTATTATTTAGAACTATCAATGAATTTAAAATATGTAAAACATGCTATATGGCATGTACTGTATTATCTTTATTATATTTATTTTAATTATTCCTATTTTAAATATAAGTCCAAATATTATTAAAATCTAAGTTTTATTTGTACCAAAAACAGTATAACTAAGAAGAAGAACCAAAGCATAACCATGTAAATGTTTATCTTAGTATTGCCTTTTATTGACATAACCTTTACACATTAAAGAAAACACTTTTTTTGCCGGATTGAAGTTATGTATTATTATAAATTTACAATTATTTTACATAATTTTAAATTTAACTGACATATTATTTGGCTCTACTAATTATTGAATTATAACTTCATTAAATTCTAATGCTTGATGGTATAAAACCTTTTTTCCACAAGAATTTTATATGAAATTTTCCTACCAAAAACTAATGGCTCTTTTTAAGCGAGTTGCCCAAAATCTGGCTTATTAATCTGGTAACATATTTGTAAAATAATCTTAACTGTCTTAATATTAAATATTTAAGAAATTCAAGAGAACATGGTGAGGTAGTTTAAAAGAATATATTACCTGTGTACTAAGATCAGCGAGCCATTGTAATTTAGTAGCATCCTCCTTTAAAATCAATGCTTTAGTCAATTCTCCCTTCCACGGTGTACTCCTATACTGTTTGCAGCAATACTCAAATTCATTTAAAGCTGAATCTAAATCATCCCTCAAAATGTGTACCTTGATTAAAGGTCCCAATAGCACATTTGACGGTTCAATGTAATTGTTATTAATTAGAGTCTCCGTTAATGTTTTAATCTGAAAATAATTTAAAAATTTAATAGACTATTTTTCTCACTAAAGACTGATCTTAAACTTAAACTGATCAACAGTTTCTAATTTTTTTTGATGAGATTGCTGTGACCCGGGAACCATACCTGAGTGTTCACCTAAAGTAAAAAGTGTTTTTACCATAGAGAATAATTGTATAACTGTTTTATAGAGGAAAGATATAATTTCGAGTTTGTTGTCTTAAGCTATTGCACAGATTTCAAAAATTCATTACCATGATTTACGTTTCACATTATCAGTGAGTAATTTTGCAATACTTTAAATTAATTTTTTAGATACTCAACAAATAAGATGTCTATAATTTTTTATCTGTAACAATGTACCTATGTAGATAGATTTTGTTCTTGCGACGAGTTTCCATAAAGACGATAATATTCTATTATTATTTATTTAATAACAAATATTGAACAGAAATTTTAATAAATATGTTAATGTTAAGATAGTTTTAAGATTAGTTTTAAAATAACTCCGTCATAAAATAATGGTCAAATACGTATTTATTATTGGGTCTTAAATTATCACCCCACTACGATTTTAACGCCTATTTAACATCTGATCCAGCAATCATAAAGGGAGAGCCTGTTTTTAGCTACCGATAAGACTTAACGAAATTGCTTGGTAATAAATCATAAAAAACAGTTCATATTAAAATTTAAACTAACCTTGGTCACATCCTTCTCTTCACATACTCCATTCAGAACTTGCCAACACTTGGCATTCAAAGCAAAGTTCGATGTTATATCATCGGTGGGCTTATTATCCTTAAGATACTGTATCGCCTCATCAAATTTATTTGCCCTGATCAAAGCTTCAGCCATCATAACCTTCTTGTATCTGTTAATAACAAAGTCTGGATTCTTTTCTAATATTTGCTTGTGTATTTCATTTGCTTTCTCGATCATATCATTCTCCAAATACACCTCATACAATTGCGTGAGTATGGTCATTGATAGTTCGAAGTTGGAAGACTTTAATTCTTTTATGTAACTATCCAATTTCTCAATATTGTTCTCTTCCATATAAGTGACGAGTAGCTGTTTTTGCAATCTAGCCTGGTTCCCATCCTGGTCCTGTACTTTTTTAATTAGATTCTCCAGTTGTTGGGAATTTAATTTTTTTTTTATTGTTTGGTAGTTTGGATGCTTCTAGCGGCGCGGATTCGAGATCTGAAGACGTTAAACTTGATAGTAACTTTGAAATGTCTGTTGTCATGTTATCTCCAATTATTTGCTCTATCTCTTCAGCCGACGCTACGTCTATACGCAGTCCCCTATCTAACACGGCTTGCAGGATATTTTCTGATAATCCACTTTTATTCAAAGCTTTAATGGCTTGTCTAACAACACGCCCTACTTCGTTAACCATGCTTCGTTCTGGACCATCATCAGGCGTATCTTCTTCTGTATTTGGTTGACGGCTACTCAGAACATGAACAATTTTGGCAAAGGAATCAATATCTTTAGTGTTAGTTAAAGCGTTAATTAACATTGGACTGATAATAGAAAATCCACCTTTCGGTCGGTACCGTAACGCGATTTCGGCTGCGGCTTCTATATTGTCTTTTCGTAAAAGTTCCACAATTACATTTCTTGCACTGTGGAAAACGGGTACATTTGCTAATTGAAGTTTAATTATAACGTTCTGTGGCGAATCCTTCTTTAGCAAGTACGGTATGATATAGTCTCTGAGAGTTTCACCAGAAGGGGACAGGTTTTCGGTAGTCATGGTTCGAACAATTTGTAGAAGACCCTCTTCATCGCCTTCCTTTCCTTTTTGAGTTAACAGAGGCCAATAGTAGTGTTGGCGAATTTCAAAGCCGTCCATTTTCAATTCATTAAACAGTTTATATGCCAGTTCAGTTTTACCTTGCTGTAACGAAACTTCTGTAGCAATTAGTAATGCTTTAGGCACTAAGGCTTCTTCTTGTAATTCTTTGCATGATTTAATGATAGAGTCTGCTGGTCGGTTTAGTTTGATTAAATGCTTCACGTAAAAAGAGCCTTTGAAGAAATTGCCGGTCTCGTCAATATTCACCGATGCTGACATGGTTTTCATTATACTTTTAGCAGTTGTATCACAGCCTTGGTTTAGGAGTCTTAAGATAAGATTGCATACATCTTGATTGTAACCCACACTTTTACGAATGTGTGTATACAACTGTTCAACTTTATTCTCATGACCGCCAATTGCTAAATATTCTACAATATCTAATATATCCTGTAAAGGTATAATTTATTCAATTTAGGACTTATTGTTTTAAATATATATATATAAATATATATCTATCTCCAGACTTTTTATATCATACATTCAAGGTTGAAAATAAACTGCACTGAATTAAATTTATCATAATTTTACAAATATTTATATTATTACTAGCAGACCGGCCAAGCGTTGCTGTGGCTAAGATTTTTGTTATATTACATAGTAGCAAACTAAGCAAGGGAAACACCAGTCATGGGCACCACCATGCTTTTTTGGTGGTTATGCAATGGCATAGCAAACCTACAATTTAATGAAATTGTAGCTTGTAATGGGAAATGTTGGTACTTTCAACACAGCAGCATCTGTTAGAATTGTGACTATCAAATACTACTCAGTTCAGACTCTAGTACTTAAATCTAAGTTATTATGTGGTTATTATAAATTGTATTAACAGTTTTTCTAACCTTATCTGACAAAGGCGCATCTTTGTCTTCAGCCATAGCGATGACCTTATTTATACTTTCAATATCACCTTCTTTTGCATAGCCACAGGCTAATAAAGTGTAGGTACGGTTTGATGGAGTAAGGCCTGCACCTGCCATTGTTTCTAACACAGCTTTAGCCCCTTCTGTGTCACCATGGAATGCATGACCCATGACTAAGGCATTTAATACAGGTTCAGACACAGGCATGTTTAGCTCCCGCATTTTTTCTAGAACCTTAGTTGCACCCTCTACGTCTCCTTCTTGACAATACCTCCACATGAGACGTTGGTAAGTGACTCTAAAATTTATAAAGGACTACATAAGTGAACTGAAAACTTATTTAAATGTTTTCTAATGTTTTTTATTAACGCATTAGTTTCATTTAAATAATGGTGTATACTTCAACACAATTAAAACATTTTTTTTTTGTTAAGATAAACACAATTTTTTATGTAATGTATTTAAAAAAAAAATAAACTGATACTGAAATGTGTCTGAATCACATTTTAAAGGGTTACTACACAAACACTATAACCTATTATTTTTATAATAAACTAGCTGGCCTGGCGAACATCGTACCGCCTAACAGTTGATTCTTTATTTGTTTAAAATACTTATTCTGCTATTCGGGACACCGGTCTAGCTAGTAAGATTAAAAAAAAGAAAATTGATAAGACAACAAATACACTAAGAACCATCCTCGTACTTCAAGGTATATCATATAAAAAAAATCAGACAAATCGGTCAAGCCGTTTTCATGTTATGTCGTGACAACGGAAAACGGGTTTCATTTTTATATATATATTGATTACCTGTTTGGTTGCAAGCCCTTCCTCTCTATTTCTTCAAGGAATTGGGCAGGAGAAAATGCATGCTCATTTTCCAAATAAACACGCAGGAGAGCATTGTAATGGGAGACATCCATGGGTACACCTCTCTCATTTAGGACATTCCATATTTTCTGAACTAATAGAGTTCTCTGTTCTGGTAACTCTTCTGGTACCAGCTCACCTAGAAATAGAGTTTGAATAGAATATAATATAATAGATTAGAATTTGATCTAAGTATAGCAAAACAACTGAGTGATGTTATACTGTTAATGGAACATTTAAATTAAACACAAAGAAAATATGAATGTGCATTGAACATTTTTTCATTTAAAAAAAAAATTAAACATTATATTACTGTAAGAAAGACAATATCTACAATGACCACTCCAAATGTTTTATGATTTTTTACAATATAATACAAAACAATATCAACATATTATGTTCAGCCTTATTCCACAGACTTATGTTATTTTGTTTCATGTTAAAAATAATTATTACTTACCACAACATCTAATAACAAGTAAAGATTGTGAGCTTGTAATGTCATGTTTTGCTCTGATTTCATCAAACACTTCATCTATGTCCCTTTTAGTTATTCTTCCATTTCTTCTAACTTCCGAATCCAATCTTTGAAGCAATGGCTCCAAGTTTTCAGATTTTTTTGTTGCATAGTCTCTCAGTAAAATGCTGAAAATATATATTCATTTTGATTACACGTAAGAGTAACTGTTAGAATAATTGTTATGATTTATATTATGTAAATTTATAATCGTCGATTCCCAATTGCTATACCCAATGTCTTTAGGAAATAGAATGATTCATATTACAATGATTTGTATCAAACTACAATAATATCTAACCTGTTGGCAGCACATAGTGATTTAGGATTCAGTAAAGTATTAGCTTCAGCTGTTTTTGCAGAGTTTAATATAAGTGTTCTAGCCGCACCAGCAAAGTATCGCACAAACTTGGTAGATCGCAGAAGAGACGACATTATGGCTTTTTTAAGTATACTTTACACACGCATGTAAACGATATTTTCTTCTATTTATACACCACAGTTATTTTGTTAATCCTACTTTTTCGAAATAAATTCTTTACTCTTGTAGGTTCTGCCTTTTACTTTTGAGGTTATGTCTATTATGTGATTATGTCACTAGTCACTAGTCACTACTCACTACCTACTTAGCACTTAGTACTTGGTTACCAGTGTCTACCGACAATTTATAGGTTATCTGTAGTGTGGAGATAGTAATTTTCATATAGAAAACTTATACTTCTTAACTATTTTGAGTTCAATAAAAGACTCGCATCAAAAGTGCGTTTTTGATACAAAAATATTATATAGCTACAGGGTTATTCAAAATTCCGCGATACTTGACGGCCTTGGAAAACTGTTTCTTCTTAGAAACTATACATTTTTATTTTACTTGTATATATTATAATTATTTATTTCTTAACAGCTCTGGATATTAAAGCTTTAATGTTTTTATTAATTAAATGAATTGACCAAATAATAGTCACAGATTCTTTAAATCACGTATTACTATAATCTGTTATGAAAATATCGTGTCTCCTTATAAACATTACCAATTTTATAGTAAACAGAAAATAAAATAAGCAAATACACTCGACATTAACCCGAGTAATATTAGCAGGGTCGGTATTACGAGTAACGGCGTCACCAGTGCTTTCATCCACATAGTAATTAACTTTTCTTGACTACAACATAAAATTGATATGAAGAAGGAACAGTGATGGAGACAGTATACAGCCTTAAGGAACTCACGCATTTTTTAGTTTTAAGTCGGAACACGTACCGTCGACAACGATCTTAATGTTCCGATAGGCCAGTCCATAAACCGGGAGTTTTGAGAGAAGCGCCTTGTGCCAAACCCTTGTGCAGAGCGACGTTGGCGAAACCTATACTGACTGTCACTAATCAGCTGGTATTTCTCTAGGTACCGAAGAAGATTCTATTATTTTACGGGGTGATCGCTTTTCGTCGGTAGTTGAACGGACCGGAGTTGAAAGGCTCTGCCTTTACCTTTTTTAGGGATCGGATGAATTAAGGCGGTCATCCAAGCGTTTGGGACCATGCTGCCAGGGTAAGAGTGCCGGAACCGGAGCCAGCTCTGAAGCATGCGTGCCCAGCACGATTGTAGGAATACCATCTGGCCCGTTCAACTTATAAATATCTAGAAAAAAAGGACTTTGCGGACAGCACGGAGTCGGAATAAATCTTCTGGCATTGAAAAATCACACCAAATTTACGACGGTGGTACATTCTAAAGGGTTGAGTAGGACTCGAAAGAGAGCAGAAGAGATCGGCTTTCTCCTTTGAGGTGGTGGCCTTAAATATTTCGCCCCAAGAAGTGGTGGAAGTGAAGGCTTGCAGAAATTACCTTGTACAGCCTTGGCAAGGGACCAGAAGGCATATGCTCCTGAAGGAAGGTGAGCTGATTTCTTACCAATTCCAATATGCTCCGACTTTACTCTTTTGACGAACCTAGAGGCTGAGTTGTAGGCTTTTTTAATTTCGCTGTTTTTTACATCACGTGACGCCGCCTTTTATACCTAGGCTTGAAAACACTTCTGCTTTCGGCATGCTGCCGTTTTAAAGGAGCGTTCGAGTGTTGGGACTTGCCACTGTACTGCAGAGAAAGGAATAAAAAAATCCATGCCCTGCAGAACAACATGAGCGACAGAGTCGGATACAGTATCAGAATCATCCGGCGAAAAACATATCGGCCTCATGGCTATATCCAATCTGCTGACCCATAGTGTCAACGCGGCGACAGCCCACGAAGCCAGTCCGATTAAGGCGCGTAGTTTGCACAGTGCTCCGAACTAGGCAATGATCCAATGATCCTAAAGGTGGATCGATCGGATCGTAATCACCTGGTAGCTGTCCAGAGGTCAGCAATAGGTCCAACAGTGAAGGTTTATGACCGTCTACATCTGGGATTCTTGTGATGGAGGGCATCATTTGTTTCCGGGTATAGCCAGGGAAAAGTCGTGAAATGTTCTTCTGTCGCTAATCGCCAATCTGCAATTTCAGCGGTGGGAACATTTTGGAGCAGAAAGTCTGCAGCTGATTGAAGGTGCCCTACGAACCATTTCATTTCGGTATTACCGCTATGGGACCTATATAAACAAGCGTAGTATCGCAGATGGTCGTCGCAGTCTACGTGCAACCAAAGAGTTAATAACATCGAGCATCGCGAGGCGACGAGAGCAAATATCCTCTCGAACGTATATAACCAGGGTAGAAGAGGAAGGAGGTGTCACCCGGAGTGGATTTTTTTATAGATAGTACAGGTCGGAGGAAAAGATGGGCATCTCTGATCTCACTCACCGTACGAAACGCGAGTACAATAGGGTAAACCTTTTGGATCACTTAACGCCAGATTTCTCTGTGACGTTTGTCGTTAAGAGACTTTATACGTCAAATAAGTGACGTTGACGGTATCTGATAAAAAATCGTTTATCCTACAAACAAATATAATTTTTATGTAAATTGTTATTAATTCCAAATTGCTTTGAATAAGGTATGTTTTGAGTTCACGTGAAAGATGAGTGTTCTTTAAAATTGGTAGATTTACAACTACTATCGACTATACTTTGATATTTTAATTTTGCATGTGGCAAAGATTGAAGGAAACAGTACAATCTTTCAAGACTACGGGTGACCTTCAAAACAGGATTTTTGCAGCGGTTTGTCGGCAAATCGCCGTGATTTGTAATTTTGTAATTTAAATATTTTGCAGCATTTTCTTTAACTATCATGGTAAGTTTACGTAGTTTTAATACTTAATAAGAAGGAATTCTCCAGTGACATTCATATGACCTCTGGTTATGTCTAAATAATTAAGCGATGAATAATGGAATTAAAGTTTATAGACTAGTAATTTTATATCTCATAAGTCTCTTTTGTAAAATAAACAATCTGATTGATCGATTGCAGTTTGATAATGTTATCATTATTTAGTTAGAAAACCACTTGTACATTTCAACTTAAGATATTTGAAAATGTTAGCTTCTTGTTGCTGTTCACAAAAACTCAGTACTGAACAACAAATTATTGTAGTAGCAAGCAAAAACAAAAGTAAAATGGTAAATTATTCTTTCTTCCATTTCATATAAAGTTCTAAGTATTTTTTCCTTGTTCAGTTTTATATGGTAATCAATGGATATATTATGATATATGGAAAATGCCTCTGAACAATGTTGGCAGTTAGTTTTACTCAAATTAACAGGCAATATATTTCTTGCAGGCGGAACCAATTAAAGTTGTTGTAACTGGTGCTGCTGGGCAGATTGCATACTCTCTTCTCTACCAAATTGCTTCTGGAGCTGTTTTTGGCCCAGAACAACCAGTATTTCTTCATCTCCTGGATATTGCTCCAATGATGGGAGTTCTTGAGGGTGTTGTCATGGAGTTAGCTGACTGTGCTTTGCCCTTACTTGCTGGAGTGCTCCCTACTGCCAACCCTGAAGAAGCATTTAAGGATGTAGCAGCTGCATTTTTAGTAGGTGCTATGCCCAGAAAAGAAGGTATGGAACGTAAAGATCTCTTATCAGCTAATGTTCGCATTTTTAAAGAACAAGGGCAGGCCTTAGACAAAGTGGCACGTAAGGATGTTAAAATACTTGTTGTTGGAAATCCAGCCAACACTAATGCTTTGATTTGTTCTAAATATGCCCCATCAATCCCTAAAGAAAATTTCACTGCCATGACACGCCTTGACCAGAACCGTGCCCAAGCCCAATTGGCAGCTAAATTGGGGGTAAGAGTCCAGGATGTTAAGAATGTCATCATTTGGGGTAACCACTCCTCCACACAGTTCCCAGATGCATCAAATGCTGTTGTCACAGTCAATGGTGCTCAAAAGCCAGTGCCGGTAGCGCTAAATGATGATGAATTCTTGAAGTCCACCTTTGTCACAACAGTACAGAAGAGAGGTGCAGCTGTTATTGCAGCTAGAAAAATGTCCTCTGCTCTGTCAGCTGCTAAAGCAGCATCAGACCACATGAGAGATTGGTTCTTAGGCACTGGTGATCGTTGGGTCAGTATGGGAGTTGTGTCTGATGGATCGTATGGTACACCACGGGATGTAGTGTTCTCATTCCCTGTTACAGTCAGTAATGGCAAGTGGAAGATTGTTGAAGGCCTGACTATTTCTGATTTTGCCCGCAAAATGATTGATGCAACAGGTAAGGAGTTGGATGAAGAAAAGAATGATGCTTTGGAAGTATGCAAGTAATTTTAGGGTGTAGGTATAAGGATAAATGAGATTTTGTTGATATTATTGGCAATAAATTATCATACTTTGTATGTCAATTGTAATTTCACAGCTATTATTCTGTTGTATTTAATTCTTATTTAAGTGAGCATTTAGATAGCTGTGTTATTTAGAATGAAATAAAAACTATTCATATTTTTGAATGTATTTTATTGATCTTATCAATAATGTAACATTAATTTTTCCTCTCTCTAATCATTAAGAATTCGTATCTGATAAAACCTACAATAAAGGTTATCTATGGATAAACTTATTGTCCATATTTGAAATCATTATCTAAATAATCTTGGAATTAATTGATAAAATATGCCTATTTCACAATAGTTAATAATATTTCAATATAGATTTACAATTTTATAATGATATCATATCCACCTTCTAAGAATTTTTATCACAGGAGAAACTGAAAAGCAGATATAAATAATAAATATCATGAAATCAGGCTACTGGTAACATAAAAATAATCATTGTAAATATTGACATCATCATAAAAAAATGTGCCTGATGTTTAAACTTGGCTTAAGTTTGTTTTACCTTTAAAAACATAATTGATACAAAAGAATAACTTATTGAAAGTATAAATAATCCTAAATGTAATAATTTTTATTTGGTGTTTCTTAAAACTATAATATTATTTCAACTATGTGGGTACCACCACACCCTTGTGTAGCCTAATTTCAAAATCACAATCACAGATTAAAATCACACTTTCGCAAACATACTTTGTACTACTTTACTTACGTAATTACAAAAAATTAAAGATCACATTATATTTTTACTTAAGTAAATATACATTCTTCTTATTAAAAACCTTAGGTACTATTGAGTTAAAAATTAAGCCCAGTCTCTGGAAGAAGCACAACGTTGGCAATGTTTGCTGTTCTTCACTGATACAAATGTTAACAAATTACTTCGAGTTATTGAAACCTTAATGAGATCGAAATTCGAAACTGGTCAATTTGTTTTTAGGTTGTAATACCGTGAGAATCATTTAAATATCGTTAACTTATATAATGAATCTTAAAAGTTTTAGAAGCTAAAGCTTCTACAGGACAGGCCATGTACAAATTGGGTAAATGGTCCCAATTAGTACAGGTGATAAAACGATAACTGGAGATTTTAACATTTATTACTTGGTAAGCATTTCAGATTTCAGAAACTGGGCGATACCTATAACCTAATAAGCATTAAGAAGCGGTAATAGACAACCAGCGCCTATTGTGAGACAGCTACCATACTTTACAATATTTTATACTTCTATAAATAGACAAAATCGTGTCTATGGTTGATAAAGAGTACTTAATCAATTTATGACCTATCTATGTTTCAAAAATTTGCTGATGTATGTCATGAACTTGCTTGTAAACTCTGATGTAAGGCGGTATCGTAATGCAAAGTATGCGCTGATTCTATGTATAGCCGTAAAAATTACGAGAGCGACTATTTGTAATATATAATTGTCATTCATAATTCCTACATCTCGCAACAATAACTTCGGATCGGAATAGACACAGAAAATGTCGTCACATTCCATAAGAGGTCGCTTGTTGTAAATTGCCAAGCAGAGGCCAGAAAGTGCGTATCGTAAGTAAGACACTGACATAAGGATTTTCATAAATGGTTCAATAAATTTTCCGAAGCCCATGCCGTAGCAGCAGAGAGCTAATAGTGGCGCTAGTGTCGCCGGGCCCACTATGGAACCGTTCTGTAAAACAAAAGACTCGTGAACACTATAAAAGAGAAAAAAAGATTATCATTAATTTGATTCATATATATTTCAAGTAAAGTACTAATGGAGTATGACATATCTCTCCGTTTATTTTATGAATCGTTTTTAATGAATTAGGTGATCAGCTTAGCCAAAATAAATAATTACTTATTGTTCCGTCGGAAATCAAATCCAGGATTATACGTAATGTGCATAAAACACTAAGCTGCGGAGCCGGATAAAAACATAATATATCAAAATAAAATGTGTATATATTACTATTTCTCTATATATATATTTTATTACTATTTCAGTCACTTTATTATAACAATTTGGAATTGATGTAATACTAACCGTTACACTAAACGTTGATCCCACCAAGAGGCCCAAACCTTCGGAGCAGAATCCAGTCAGAAGACCCACTATAGAAAACAACACAAAGCGGTCTAACTCCATAAGTTGACCAGACATCACGTAGCTTATTGTTAGAAACAGCATGCCTAGGCTCAACTGGAAAAGTTAAAATCTTTAATTAAAAGACAGAAGTAGTTTTCCTTGGATAATTATGATAACTGGCAGATATTACGACAGATCTTTAATCTGCCGCAGTATTTGATATAAACAATTTGTCCGGTATCAAATCCACAACTGTCAACTTAAACGCCATTAGCGTTAACTACACAGTGTACTTTGTGAAGTCGGTACCAAACACCTAGGTCATATTAGTTCTGAAAGTAAATATAACGTGGCTTTTATTCAGAATTAGAAATAGGTTATATGAACTTACCATAACTGGTACAGATGATATGGTAAGGGCCGCATAATACGCCTTTAAACTATACCATCGATTGAAGTATTCACGTCGAAGCATACGCATTTCCATAGGAACTGAAAAATAAATTTAAATAATATACCTAATACAAGTATTTTTTTGTTTTAAACATTTGTTAAAAACATTCGTTATATGATACTAACTACAGCTTTATGAGAACTTCAAATATAAAAAATCATTCCAAAACGTACTTTTATTTAGTCTATTACGAATTTTAAGCATTGAAATGTTATTATCCTAATACGTACTTAAAAAAGTAAACCTACTACCAATAAATACAAAACACCTCTATTCCACAAACACATGTTATTTCTATCAAAATCATGTTATAGTTTAATATTATTTGTATGATTTCCTAAGCAAAGTTATTTTTTATAGGTATGTCAACTAAAGCTGGCGGCTTCAACACATTTACACTTTGTGCTTGTGTAGTGTCTGTGAATAAGCGCGAGACGTGATGTCAAACTGAAATACAATCATAAATACATCATGAATAGACTGTCCGTCGTGTATGAGTGGACTAAAATGTATAGCATGGCAAAAAAATCATATTTTGAAACATACTGTATGTGAAATTGCATTAGTGTGAGTACTGTGAACCCGCCAGCTTTCGATAACCGACCTATACATGTACAAGTCGTCGGAAATATCTGCGAACCTGGCTTAATGACGTCATACAAACTGGAGAGATAGCAAAAAAATTGAAGATGTAAAAATAAAAAATATTTTATTTGTGTACTTATTTTTATTGATACTCGTACCTACCCATCTTACATACAGCACTAAATAGGTAGTTTATGTAATATTTCACCAAACAGAGAAACAATAAACACTAAAATGCGATTACGAAAGCAAGAATAATACACGTGCGGCGTCGGCGATTGCGTTGGCAACGGTACTGGATAGGCGAAAACGGGGCGGGGTGCGGGGGCGCCAGGGGAAGCGCATTCCAGCGAGGTTCGCAGATATTTCCGACGGCTTGTAGAAGCGTAGCAGAACATATTTTGGCGAAGCGCGCCATCTCTATTTAGTCTATGGCAATTATATTTATCTGCGGCAGCGGGCTTTAGCGCATGCGTGATCCAGCTTTTAGTTTTGGCGCCATTCGTACATCATTGTTGCATAGTGCATACCGTATGAAGTTTTTTTCAATCAGAGTTAGGGCGTTATTTGTATAAAAGAACTCAAAAATCGTACTGCGACGTACTTTACACAGTATTACTTTAGCTCATCTTAAGAGATTTATGCTACAATCTTTTCAGAATATTTGAAGTTATACACACTTCATATACATACCTCATCGGCTTTGTATTTTTTTTAGTTCTTGTTACCTTTTTTTCTAATATTCATACATACTTAAGTTGATAAATTCGGATTATGAAGTAAACTGCCCCGTGACGGATTTAAGTGTCGAATGACTTTCTGGTGGTAGTGAGCAATCAGTGAACTTACATAGAAGCACAGGTATCATGACATAAGTATACATGAAGAACACAAGGCAGCTGATACAGAACTTGAAATTTGCGATAGGTGTGGTGCCATCGTTGCCGATCTGATAGAAGATGCCACCAAGTAACACAGCTGCCAGAATATGGTGAATTAACTGGATCCATAGAGCTGTCTGAAATAAATATTATGGACTTTTAAGTGACTTATTATAATTGGGATTTTATTAGTGAGTTCGTTGAGGTGAATCAGACGTAATGAGTGTGACCATAAGAATATCGTATATTATTAAGAACATTACGAGTATAAAAATCATGCGTTTATTAATTTCCTCTATCATTCCGTCTCGTACAGGTAAGCGTTCTATATTTTTCTAATCGTTGGTAGAGAGTCCATAGATCTCAATAATACAGAGCTGACTAGTTTTAATGAATTTTCAGATAACCCCCTTAACAATCAACTTGCAGCGTGGGCTCCACGTTGGGAAACACTGGTCTAGCCAGTACCGAATGTAGGATAATTTGTATAATTTTTATTAAGTAGGTATACTTCGCCAACAAAAATTAAAAGTATTTTTTAATTTTTTTTTCTGAACATATCCTACATTACTCATCAGTATAATCAATAAGATTCAGAAACGTATTTCTCATATTAGCTATAAATAACAAAAAGACTTACGGAATTGCGTCTAGTCTGTAACATCATTCGTTTTAGCAAAATCCAGAACTGACTCAAAAACGTCGTCGCAAATTCCATTCTGAGTAGCTGTTCTTTGGCGACGTGCTCCACAAAAATCCTTTGTATTGAATCGTCTGAATGTAAAACCGGTTTGCTGAAAAAGAAGATTACCGAGGCGTTTTACATTTTGAAACAAAGCTTACATTGTGCAGGTCTGTTGCGTTTATGGCATTTAGTGTGAAAGATTACTCTTTAATAGTCTGGAGGAATAGGTACAGAGTTGGCGTTCATCAAATAGCGCGAAGAGAAGCGAAATAAACCTAGGAGGGTATGATGAAGGTACATAGAGACTTGCTGTGACCCCGTCCTGTCATAAAGAGATCAAGATAGTAAACAAAGTTGAGAAAATAGGCAGTTTCGGCCAAAAATCTCTTTTCATACTATTACCATAAAGTGTGCATATTAAAACTGTCTTTGTCTTGCTGGGCTTTATAAATATATGAAAAACTAACCGTCCTCCTCTAGATGTCATTTTGTCTAGGTCTCGGCAGAGCTTTCCGTTTTGACACAATTCTGACATTTGTGCTGGCGCTTCGGTGGTGCTAACAAGAGTTTCGAGTACGAAATCGGCAGGATTGTGGGTAACAGGACAAATATGGCCAATCTCAGTCAGGAAAGGTACTAGGAGAGGAGACGCACCCTGAAAGTGAACGAGATTATGACACAGAAAGTATATAAATATTGTTAAAAGTTAAAATGATTAATAAACGGACAAAAATATACGATATGAAAGTTTATAAATATAGAAAATGATTTGTAAAAAAACCTGGTATTGTCTTAAGTTTAACATAAATCTTGAGTTGGTTTTAAGCTTGTTTCAGAGTTTAAAAAAACATTCATACATACGTATATCTATCCCATTATAACATTATGAATGGAAGACTAAGTTCGCTTAAACTTCTCTGAAATTCAGCATTGTGTACTTTCTGTACTTGTATCTGTACTTTATAATACAGTTCTAATTTTAAAACTTACTAATATAAAACGTAGGTACCTACTTATATAATTAGTATATAAAGGCGCACAGATATAGTTAATAGCGGACTAAAGTGTGTAATTTATTTTAACATAGACTCATTTATGTTTACTTCGAAATAAAAACCTATCAAGTCTTTGAGTTCTGTATGAGTAAGTCGTTTCAGCTTGCTCAACGGAAATGCAATATCAAATGCAGTCGATTCCATTTCCAAGCTGTGTTTAACCCTTGTAATGTTTCGTTGGTATGACTAAGTTTCCCTAGAGAGCTTCAACTACTAACATCCTTACTAGTTTCAATACAAGTTGGGAATCCAGCTTTCTGTATTAAGTTATATATCTCGGACCTTTCATGAACAATGGCGGGTGAAATGCGCTCATTAAAAGGAAATTCTTTAGAACATTACAATCCTACTAAAAGAATTACGACTTTTAAACCTTACTACTTCTCCTGTTATTCATAAGGATTTATTAAACCGTCTTAGTGAAATAATACAGTGTAAACACAATTTGATAGAATAGACGTAGTTACAAGAGTGCGATTAGACTAATTTATTTTTTATGATTGACGTGGTAAATCTGGCAACGAAGGTATATATATATACCTAATTAAATAAAGAGTATAAATTGTTTTAGATCTCATTAAGAGTTCACTTCTGATTGAATAATATTTATCTTAATAGCAGTAATAATATTGCAGAAGCCTATTAGTTTATTAATTCGTTCTGGGTCGTACGTCTGTGTGCCAATTTTTCTTATTTTTATCATTTTTAATTAAGACTGGTCCAGAAGGCCCAAAAACGATGGAATAGACAATGACTTATACAACAATTTGTATATAAACAAGTAATATAAGTTACATCGAATATAATTATAAGCAGGAAAAAAAACTTGGGATTTTACTAAGGGAGCGTTCAAGTATTACGTAACGAATATTGTGAGGGAGGGGAGTCCTTTTGTAAAACGTTACGATTCGGGGCGGGGATTGAATTACGCGTTATTCTTAATATTTTTTTCGACTTTTCACTACTTTACAACACAAAATGGTAACTTTTAGGTATAAAGTTACACGGGGGGGTCAATAATCTCCAAAAATTGCGTTACGTAATACTTGAACGCTTCCTAACCCCGAAAAATAAATTAAAAAGAAAACCGCGTTTATCCTCCCAAAGGATCACCATCAAACTTCCCATCGCGAAGTTTGAGCTTCATTAACAAATTATTTGACACAGGTTAAAAACTTTTTGATGGCGCATCCGGCGGTGCAAAGTTCCCTTAATTAGAATGACGGAGATAATCAAACTTTGTCAATTGAGGGCATAAAATGTTATAATTAGTCTTAATTCGTCTAGCATATTAAAATAAAATAGTTATATCCATTACATATGGTGCTGGGCCAAAGAGTTTACACAGAAATATAAAAAATAATAACTTAAACTCTTGAAAACTAAAGACACTTAGTGCCTTAGTGGGTAATGAACATAGCATATAACTAACTCGGACTTGATCCCGGAGAAACATGTTCGCGTCTTGGCCGACGTAGAAAGCTTACTTAAATTTAATTAGTCGTGTTTATGGTATAGACAGGCAATAAATCGACGAGAAAATAATTATGTCAGACAGAAGCTGATCACCTACTTGTCTATGAATTAAAAATTACCAAGGAATCGGATAAAATCTAAGGCAGCGACCTATTGAGATATATAGGATTAGAGGATTAGATTAGAGCCACTGGATTATTATTAATACCTGGTAGCAACAAAGTCCTCTTGACAATACATAAACTCTATCAAAAAGAGTGAAGAGAGACGCTGAAGGTTGATGTACTGTGCAGATAATAGTGCGGCCCTGGCGAGAGAGCAGACGTAATAGTACCACCAGCTGACGTATAGACACGACGTCTAGACCTCTGAAAATAGAAAACCAGTATTTTTATTTGCAACAACAGTAATTTGATGAGCAACAGTGCGAAGCGGTATATATGAGAAGATTAAAAAGTAGTGGTAATCACGCATATATTTATGAATAAACGACTAAACTTAGTTGGCCTATATATTTAGAGATAGTGCTTGGTGCTAGTATTTTAAACTTTAAGCTGTCTACACACCGCAGCCGCCGGCCCGCCGGCACGAACCCGGCGGGCAAGGCCGGCGGCCTTAGTTTTAACGATGTTGCCGGCGGCTTGCGCCCGCACGATCTTCCCCGCGGCACGCCCCTCTCCGCTCTTCACCACCGGTTGCCCACCGGCTTTTAAGAAATAGTGACGCGTCAGTGTTTTTATCGACTAAACATTATGGAATCCGTTAATGAAGTGGAGAGAAAAATAAAAAATTTAACAAGTCACTAGCAAGCACTTGGCAATCACTAATTGTGAACACTGCATGCCGCGACTGTATGTCGTGCCGCCGGGAAAATTTTCAGGCTCGCAACTTCTAAAGCCGCCGGGTTAACCCGCCGGCACTAAGCCGCCGGGCTGTGCCGCCGGGTCAGCGGCTTTGGTGTGTAGACCGCTTTACATTACGTTTCAATAAAACTGATTAAGTCCAGTAAATAATTTTTAATTTCAATGGCTTCGCGTACCAATCTTGGGAAGAATCAAAACACCCCAATTTCAATAGAGAAGACGGCCTTAAATTGTCAAACACCCGGGATCAAATAATTTTTAGTAAAATGTAGCAAATGCCATCAATATCATGTGGGAAATGTAGTATAGATTTATTTATTTTATTTGGATTTAAAAATGTGTTGTCTGATGTGTTTCTCAAAAATACCGTTTAAAGGACCTATTTGTAAGTACAACATAAGGCTTATCTGGCTGTATTATTCGTAGATTATATCTACGTAACATAAAAGACAAATATATTGGCTAAAAATCGACACAAAGCTTTTGAACTATTGTTTGTCCTTGTATAACATTGTTGTACGAAAGATTCCTTTTTATTTCAGTATATTTTCCTTGATCGATACACGTGTTCCTAATGAGACCATTCTAGTGTAAATAAAAGTCACAAAGTGCTTTGAAATAAAGAAAGGTAGTACCCCAAAAAACGTTTCAATTTTCCAAACACGATCCGGCTTTATGTGCAATAAAACGATACGACGAGTTCGGTGATTAAGCCAATTACTTATTATTGTGTACACGGTATTTTGTGTAATCAGTTGAAGAGGGGTATACAGTGTGTCCCATACGAGGGACACGAAATTTCTTGTTTAATTAATTAATACAATCATATTTTATTACATGTTTACATTGAGACATTCAAAACAAGTATTTTTATTGGGTTAAATGAGGTTGTTGTTGACTTGAATTTATTAAGATATTTAAAATTAAATAAAATATAATAACGAAAATATTGCTTCTATATGGTATCTGTTAGTTGAAAAGGGCGTTTAAAATGTATTTATAATTTTTTATTAATACTAAACGGTAAATCCAAATGATGTGTTTTAAGTTAAGCCCTCTCGATTCCTGGCGTATTGATTGTCTTATGTTGTAATGCACATTGCACATATTATCTCATTCCAATTTAACGAAGTCGATCAATGAAGAAGCAGAAAATTCAGAAGTCATGACTATTATAGATCATCCTGTCAACGTGTGATTAAACCAATGTATTAAATTCAAGTGCAAAGAATATAGTTTAATCAAACAAAGTGCAAGAGTACTGCGTAGGTAATAAGGGAAGTGGCTTTGTTAGCTTTTCTCATTACAACTGTAAATACGGTATAAAATTTAATAAATGCGGATATTTTTATTATTTAATCCTTACCTTATGTCATTAACTTTTGGGGCTAATTTGTGCTTTTAAATTATGTTTTGTTTTATAGAATAAATTGAGTATATTGTTTTATTATTTTGAGCTTCTTTTTTGTTTCGATTTTATAATTTAAATATTATTTTATTAAATGACAACTACAAGTTCATTGCTTGTGGCGGCGTCCATGCGTCGGGCTGTCTCTCTCCCTAAAATATGGCGAGGGGGCCGATGGCTGGCCATGCGTCATACTCGTGAACGGGTGCTACTTGTGGTGACTGGTCGGACTTGAATTCGTGTATGGTGATGTTAGTTATTTCTGTTATGTATTTGCGTGTTGTTCCCACGATAATTGAAGTGCGTGCTCCTATTTCACCATGCCTACTGCTGATAGAGGACAAATCTTTGTTTTTTTTTATTATTTATTTACTATTAATTACTTAAGATGTCATGTGGAACTTAGTGTAATGGTTGCAGCTCCTTACAAACATTGTGTAAAACAAAACATTTGGCAATTAAAAAGAGTGGCGGAGAGTTTATTGCCAGTTCTTCTCGTCCGTTCTATGCCCTTGATTTAAGAACTGGCAGTAAATTAAAATGTAGCATTTAATATGTATTTCTTTATTGACGTTCATACGTGTACATTGTGTTACCTAAATGAATAAATGATTTTGAATTTGAAATATAAAATTGTACTTAAACATTATTCACATTAAAGTATTAAAATAATAAATATTGGAACACGCGTTGTTGACCAATCGTGTTCATAGTATTATTTATTTCATTGTAAACAAGTAATATTTTCATGCATTAGACTCATATATTTTATGCGTGTCCCTTTTACCAACATGCTACTGGTACAAATATAAACAGGTATTAATGCAGTATATGTTATGACAGTGTTGTGGGGAATTGTCTCTCATGGCAATAAAACAAAGACATAGGTATGCGTCAAATATTTTTATGAAATTTTAATTCGGCAGCAGCAAAACTGTAAAGGTGGGAACTGACCAACGTTACGAGGTGTAATGTAACACGTTTCGCAGCGAGCATACGTGCAGTCAGTACGGCGTGTTACGGGGAAACCAGCGAGCAACGAGCCGCTCGTTGCTCGCTTTGAGTGCTCCACCCGGCTGTCGGTTTTTTGGCGAATCCTTTGACTATTACGCGGTTCAGTAACGAAAGTGGAGCACAGAGTTTTGACGAGCATGTTACGCCGATTTTAGAACACAGTGTAACATGCTCGATGCGTAACACGCTCGATGCGAATGCTACATTACACCTCGTAACTTTGGTCAGTGCCCACCTTAAGATTTCCTACAATAATGTTAAGCAAGCGTTGTGAAGGTCATAAGTCGGAGTTTGTATTTTACATATTGTAATTATTACTAAATAGTTAGATTAGATAGAATTGCTTGCTTATTAGCCCCGCACTTTCATAATATAGTTAATTAACAAACATTGTGAGTCTGCCTCCTGGAATAACAATTATTAGGTACATACGTTGTTGGTTCATCCAGGAACATAATAGGAGGATTATTGACCAACTCCAAGGCGACAGACAGCCTTTTAGATTGTCCTCCGGAAAGATGCTGTGACATTGTATCCCGGTGTTGCCATAAACCAATCGTTTGGAGGATTTCTTCTACCTGAAATGTTTAGTCAAACGTAAGAGGTAGGGGTACGCAAGTAATTTTTAAAATACATTTCAGAGTAAATGTTGTGTCATACTAAATTAATTGGCGATTAAAAAGAGTGGCGGAGAGTCTTGCCAGTTCTTCTTGCCCGCTCTACGCCGTTAACTTACGAACTGGCAGTAAAAGTAAATTTAGAATCAATTGAACATCTTTTCTATTGTCGTTCATAAGTGTACTTTGTTACCTATATGAATAAAGTTATTTTAAGTCAAAGTATCTTACGACAGTTATATAGTTGCCGAAAAGTTGTCTTAATTTGGAGATTGCGCAGAAGTTGTTTATTTTTCGTATCAAAAGTATGTTTTTAATATATTTAACTGTTAGGCTAATTCTTGTAAAATTGTTTTGTTCTGAGATTAATATGTACTAAATAAGTACACAATAGGTATGTATTATTATAATTAAAATTTAATTTACCTAATTACAAAGTTAGTGTATTTTAGCTATGAACATTAATGATTTAATTATTAATATCTTCTATTTACGAATAACAATCGATAAATTTTATAGAATGTCAGTACCCACCAAGTACGGACCAAACACGAATTCGTATTTGGTTTCTTTAATATACCTACTGTTTAATTGTAGGCTCACGGCCTATACAATTCTTTAAAACTGTTTCTGGTCATACGTCTAAGCGTTATTACAATTTATTTATATTAAATGGGTAGCAAGCCTTGACCGTAATATTTCTAAATAGTAACTTAATAATTATAGTTCAACTTCACAGATCATGGCTATACTAAAACTCATTTAAATACTATGCCACCTTTAGTCAGAAACTGTTTTAAATAAAACTATTCAAGCTAGCTATTTCCATAGAATTAATGTTGCAAAAAATTGACCGGGTGGACACGATCAAAATGTTCTAGATCTAGACTAAGATGGCGTGGAAGGACTCCACGAGGAAGATTTGGAAGGTTGAAATATTCGTTGGAGAATATTTATGTTTGGGATGGTGACATCTAGAAGGTTGCTATTGTTGTATGTATCCCTTAGTGCTCTCCCTCACCGGGACGCCATGGCCACGTCGCCGGCTACGTATCCAAACAATTAGTAATCACATGTATGGCACCTCACTCACTTGGCGACAGTTTGGCAACGTCGCCAATTCGGAAGCGTAGCCACGACGACGGGTCACTTGGGTGGAGACTGGCTACTTGGCAGCCTGGCGACGTCGCCAACAAAATGTATGTGAGCAAGTTGCGTCTCACAGCTCACTCACTCGGTAGCCGACGGTCCGCCAAGCAAGGCGCCAAATTCGCGCTCATTGCAATAAGATAGCGAAAAATGAGTTTCGATACTGAGAGATTTATCGTAGAAATTCAGAGTCGTCCCTGTTTATGGGATGCCTCGTTCTGATCTGAGTATTCTGATCGTAATATGAAAATTAAATGCTGGGAAGAAATAGTAGATATCTTTAAAGAACCAGATAATATTACGGTTCAAGAAAAACAAAACGTTCTATTGACAACGCGTCCATTTTCTACAAGCCGAGAGAACTGACTGGCCAGAAAATAGCTGCTATTGGCTACTCCATTGGGCATCCGATGGAAGCCAGAGGTAGCCATGGCTACGTAGCCGGCGACGTGGCCATGACGTCCCGGTGAGGCAGGGCACTTAAGCGTTTTAACGTTCATGATGAATTTCCATACAAACGCTATTTTACTTCACAATCTAATTTCCAAAGATATGTGAAAACGCGCAAACTTGTGTTTTCTTGTGGTTAAATTGGACTAGATTTAGTCTACCACAGTCCGAGAATCCACTTAGCAGAGTTCCGTGTCTGGTAGTTAGGTACTACCGGTGACCCCAGAGCTGGTGCTTTCCTCGCTCAACGAATAAGTATCGCAATACAACGAGGAAATGCTACCAGCTTTAAAGGTACCGTTTTTTTAAATTTTCTATTTATCCACTTTTAATTATTATTTTTATTACTTTATAGGTATGTTCTAAATACTGTATATTTGTATGTGGGTGAAATGTGTCAAATGAGTCATTAAAGGTCGATAGAAGGCGATGTAATAAACTATATTTTTTTGCCTTACTCAAAATTATTTTTAAAATAAAATTACTTTAAATGCATTACTATTTTTATTTGTATTTATGTAATGAACTTATTGTTTTAAGTAATTAATGCTAATGATTGACGTAATTAAACTCGTTCCATTAGACAAAAAAATACTTACATTGTACGATGATACGTAATTTGTTGTATTATTTTTTGGAGTCATGAACATTTTAATGTAAATTATTTCGTAGGCACCCTCGTAATGCTCGGGTGATATAATTCCTAGTTACTGTATAGTTACTAACATAACATATGAGACCGGCACGTAGTTACGAAAAAAGATCTGCGCCCTTACCCAGTAACATTCAATCGCGATAGCGATACCCACCGCGACATTTTTGTATGCAAGTACAATTCCTTATTTGTGATAATAATCAGAGGTCTGTTCAGTTTCGCAGTTGACATTTATTTAAAAAATAATAATTATAAAGTAGCATTTTACGCTAAAATAATTTTTGAAATCGGTCCAAGGTTGAGTTTGTTTGTTACAAATATTTTTCCCTATTGCTTAAATAACCTGCAATATATTATAAATACAGTGACTGAGGCGCAAACTAGCTGCTGTGGTCTCTGGCAGAATGACCAGCGCTGTGGAACAGTCTGCTCCTCAGCATAATGGTGAGCCAGGGCCAATTACAACCACAGCACACACGCATTACATACTTAAAACGTACCTTGTTTAAAATAAAAAAAATTTGTTATCTTTCATTCTTTTTTATATTTGTTTTATTATTGTTATTTTGTGTGTTTCTCTGTGTATGTATTTTGTTAGTAGCTGTCTATGTCAGCGGCGCTACAACCTTTTAAGGTCTGGCCTCAGATTTCTGTATTTGTTTCATGATAATTTGTTTTGTCAATGGTCAAGTATATCAGCCTGCTGCGCCTGACACACTCCATTGAATTTTCAGTCTAAGTCATACTGGTTTCCTTGGATATTTTCCTTCACCGTACGAGCAAGTGTTAAATTCTCACATAGGAAGCCCATAGGTGCATAGCCGGGGATCGAACCCACGAACTCAGGGTTGGGTGTCACACACTAAGCCCTTAGGGCAAAACTGATAAGCTAGCCATAAGCATAGCTAGAATCCTTTACTTAGTATTATTTTCATATTGACGCCGTACTTACATCTCTTGGATAGATGTGAATAGGAAATACACAACTAATTTCTAATACATGTAAAGTGAAAATACAGTATTTTCATAGTTAGATTCAGTAAACCTTCGGCCAATGAGTCAAGTCGTAAATAAATTAGAAAATTTGACACACAAAGAAATTCTTCAATTTTCTGTGATTCTAAAAACCTCTCTCGTAGAAGTCTTTTGAATCTAGGAATCGAACCTTAGAACCGTAACACGTAAATATTACCAACTGAGTTCCAGAGGTTTCATACTATAAATTATTCCGTTGCTAAACGTGAGCTTTGAGTTGCATTATTTACTAGAGACTTGATTGCAGTCTGGTTCTAATCTATTTGCTTGTTTCTCTGATGTTATTCAGACACCTATCACGTGTTTGTACTCTAAATTTCAAGGGATTTCGATTTAAGGCTGTACACCAATTGAGAATTTTCTATATGCACAATAAACGCTTGCTCCTACGGTAAAGAGAAACGGCTTGAGGAAACCTTATATTAATGTTTAAATAACTTTATTTCTCATTACAAAAAAATAATGTATTTTATTTACATGAGAAACCTTATATATAGGAGTTACACGTCGCCACCAATATAAGGTATGCTTGACCTAAATATATTTTATTATTTTTAATGCGTCCCATTTTCAAGACAAGGTAAATATAAGTTTGATGGTATATAAGTTTCTACTACATTTAAGCAATGGGAAGATTTTGATTTTTTAGATGAAACCTTATCAAAAATTTAACTTGTATTTAGTTTAGTCTAGTCTAGTATGTAATAGTAAAAGGTTGTAATGAAATATAACAATACCATGCGTAATACAAAATTTAACAACAACAAAATTTTAAATTTTAAATAAATTGTATATATATATGATTATATACGATTTTAGTTGAATTTTAATAGACACGCATTTATCTTACGGGTAGCCAGTATTTACAAAAATATATAAGTATCATATAATTATTATAATAAGTACTTACGATTAATTCCTTTTCAGCATCACCCAACTCCTTCCCCAGTTTCAAGTCCGCTGCGATTTTCATGGACTCACCAACTGTTAGTCTTGGTTGAAGCAGATCATCTTGCATGATATAGCTACTAAGTTTTTTGAAAACCCTCATTTCTCTCGCTTGCCCATTTACAGAAATTCTTCCGTTCACTCCATTTGATCTAGAATAAGTAAAAATGAAACGATTGTCAGCTGTTTTGAATTGAATGATTACAGATCACAAAAAAACTAATTTAGAAGCGTTTATCGTGTAATTTGATAGTCTTTTTCTTTTTAACCAGTCTTACACTAGGTTATATTGACACAAACATCATTTACAATTAAATAAGATTTCTATTGTGTGGCATAAATTTTGTAAAAGAATAAACATCAAAATTGGGTTTCGTCGTACGTCAATTATTTGGTACATTAAAGTACATTAGTAGTCCTTTAAAAAAAAACGTGTTTAAAGTAAAAAAAAAATCAGTGGCGCTACAACCTCTTTAGGTCTTGCCTTAAAATTTTTGAATCTATTTCATGATCATTTTTAAATCTAATAGACAAGTAGGTGATCAGCCTCCTGTGCCTGACACACGCCGTCGACTTTTTGGATCTAAGACATGTCGGTTTCCTCCACCGTTCGAGCAAATGTTAAATGCGCACATAGAAGGAAAGTCCATTGGTGCACAGCCGGGGATCGAACCTACGACCTCAGGTATGACAGTATCACGCTGAAACACAGTAAATACAAAAAAACAAACTTCTTTGAACAAAACTGGACCCAACTAATAGGTGCCTTTACCACAAATGTTTTAATTTGACCCATACAACTATATTACATTTTGGTTCGAATTGAAACTAATACGTTCCTTATTAATAACACCAGTCGTAATTTGAGTCTAAGTTTTAATAATTTCAACATCCGTTATAGCATTTGCTTTTGGTTTTATTCGACATTTGAAGTGTTTTTTTTAATAGAAATTTAATATGTTTTATATTTACCTGAACGGATGCGGTCAGCAATTTGGGTGACAAAAAATTCAAATGTACATTTGAGTATACTTTGACAGGTACACACTTATAGGAGTCTGGTAGATATTATTAGTCATTATAAAATGTTTCTCAAATTTAAAAGACCGAGAACAAATTTAAATTAGATTAAAACTTGCCCTCGAACCGGGAATCGAACCCGGTACCCCTCACCTAGCTGCCACTTAATAAGACCGCTAGGCTATGAGGCCCCTACATAGAAACATCTTTGCGTACTTTCTTGAAAAAAAAAAAACTTTTTGGAAGAGACCTCATTATTCCCGATTCCGATAAATAAAAAAATTGAAAAATTGTGTAACAGACATGTTATAAAATGTGAGAATAATTAGCAGATATCAAAATTTGTGGTATTTTATGCCTTTTTAGCAAGATAGGTAAACATAGCGTGAACTTTAAAAAAAAATTAACACATAAAACAGCAATTTTATAAATGTTTGAGCAAGTTTGCGAAACAATTTTGACTATCTTGAATTTATACTGATTTATCTCTTCATACTACTGTTGATCAAAATATATATAATAGAAAGTTATCTAACAAATCGATACAGAACAATAAGTATGGTAAAAAGAGCGTTCTGAATTTCTCCTCCTACCTTATGTAGTTAGGTGTAAATAATAAAATTAATACAACTCGGGGACTGCCGCGGACTGCGACTAAAGCTATTGCATAGCATTTTTTTATCAACTTATAATTATTACAACAATTATAATTATTTATTTATTTTTATCTATGCATATTTTTTTTCTTTTGAAGTAAGTTTTTTCTTTGCACCGGCCGCGCTTACCTACGCTACGTCACCGATCTCGTCAGAGAGATCTGAATACGCAATATGCGTTCTGTCCCACTCTAACGCGTATTAGCCGCACCTATATTACGTCATCGTGTGTTAGGTTTATTTCGTTACGGAATTTCTTGATTCGGTCGTCGCTCTCAAAGCCCGCGATAAAATCTATGCAATAGCTTAACAAAAATCATACATCTACCTACAACCTCTTACAAAGTAATCTTAGTAACAAATTACATTATATCAACTGTATATTTTTATTATAAATAAATATCTAAAGAGTAAAGGAAGTGAATAAAGGCTATTTAACAAATACGTACGTGTAACCAGCGAGGATGTTCAGTAAAGTGGACTTCCCAGCGCCGGAAGGTCCCAGAATGCACGTTAGTTCGCCCGAACGAAATTCACCAGAAACGTTGTGTAGAATACGGCGTTCTCCTGAAAAGATCATTTGATTCAGTTTATTGTTAAAGCATTAAGACGATTTTGATGCTAGCTTTTAATTAAAGGTAAGAGAAATTTCAAAACACATTTTATTTATTCGGCTATTTATAATTAATATCATTTTAGCGAATTATTTGAATGCAAATCGAAGTGATTAACAATTAAACTGGACTTGTGTTCTATACATTAATCTATAAGATATTGCAAAACAAATAATAAAAAGTGAATTCTATCTTTCACGCATTAGACATATTTCGATGTCATTTTCGCATCTGAATGGTTCCGGGAGTCGAACTGAATCTTATACATTTTATATGCATTACAAAATGAAATAATTAATCCTCATCGAAAATAAACGTTAGACAATCCTGAAATTACCGATCATGACACTTGCATAAGCACATTACATAATTCATAACAATAGTAAGTCATGCTTAGTTTCACTTTATTCAGGAAACCAGACTATTACCACCAGAATGTATTATTACCACGGTAATTGATAGCATTAGGCGGTAACGCAGAACTTGTCAATGCCATTAAATTTGACGCCTAGTTGCGCTGTTTATTAGCTGTTATTCTTTTGTTATTTTTGAATTGATAGTAACCTTTTAATTCTATGTCGTGTATGTCTTTTGTAATCAGGTATTATTATTTTTTAATGGGTAGATAATGTGAGGTAATTTTAAATAATTGTTTAATTGATTGTTTAATAAGGCTACCAAGAAAGAACTAAGGCTGAAATTGTGCCGTTTGTCAAATTGTATTCCTATATATTTTTTATTTTATTTTGAGAAGAATGACCATCACTACTAGTTATTTGTATCATAGCATAAGGATTACTAAAGTAAGATGAAAGATGGAACTGTAAACGAATAGACATAAAAATGGAATATTTATTTATAAAAGGCCTTTTTCCTAACATTACTTAAAAATATAATATTTAGAGCTTTTAATGTTTTAGGTCAGGAGAATTATCATTTATATTTTTCTGTAAAATTTATTTTTATTACTTCGTCTACGAATCTACTTAGCAATAAATAAATCAATCATTATCGGGCACTCCCTTCTGCTAGCGACCTGTGAGTGTAGAAGAGAAATATATAATAGTACAATATTATAGTGATATCGAGCACTCCATCCAATAGTAACATAACTATTAACTGAAATTATATAGCAACGTCTATAATAAGGCAGAACTAGTAATTTTATAAAGACATTGAATAATTACAATTGCCGTATGATATTTAATTTTATTATTACTAATATTTTATTACGTGTATAAAGTCTATTGACTTTTGGATTTACATTAAACCAAGTACCCAACTATTTGAAGTGCGATTCCAAAACGTAAATTAATAGTTAGTTGCACAAGTTGATGTCGTAAATGCAATCCTGTCAGACGACATTTCTCATTATGAACTTAACGTTTTGAAACGGCGGATATGTGAAATATTAATGCGGACTTAAACGCCTAGCCATTTGTAAAGTTTTTGTCATCAAGTTTGCTGTCTCCCAGAACAAATGAAGAAACATCTGTGATACGCGTAAATAAAAGATGATGTAACATTCTTACTTTACTGTTCGTGGTAATGAAGTGGAAGTACGTAGGTTTCAAAATCTTTATTAAGAAACGGCTCGATATTTACGGCCGTAAGTGCACAGTTGGTACAAATTGTTCTTTTAAACGACTGTCTCTGAAGAGAAAACTTTTGTCTCGAGTTGCTCAGCTTCAATTAATATAAATTATGTGTCCTCGGTGATGTATAGCGCGATTAATTTTAGGTACCCTTCTCTTGTATCGAGAATAAGGCTTAGTATTTTAAGGATTATTTTATTATCGTTGAATAAATTACGCAAATGAATATGTAAGTATTGAATAATTTTATTCAACAAAGCTGGGTCAACGATTTATAAATTTAGTTTATTTTAATGCTTGCTTTGGGAGAGAGACAGACCGAGGTACGTGACCGTATATATTTTGTATAGTCTATAAAGAATCATAATAGCGGTTAAAAGATAACGTTATACCTAATGCTCCTTCTAAAACTTGTCTTTTCGCGTATATGAGTTGTCTTCAACTAAAACTCGTTCAAGCTCGGTTTAATTTGACGAAAATGGCCAGTTAACTAAAAGCAAATAACTTGAATGAATCAATAGATATTGAACCCACAATCGTGTACATCAGAAACCGTAAGAAACGTATTACTTGTAGGAAATAAAGCTGTTCAATCACATATAGTATCGAAAGGGCCCATTTGAATGCAAGCAATCAATAAAAAACCCTTCGGACGAGGCTCGAGGCTTCGTACCAATATTCAATCCGAGTAACGTATGTCTGAACCCTTGTTACTCCCCCTCATTCTGGGACACATTTAAATAGCTGTATCATTCTGCTTCACCGAATATTTTAGATGAAATCGCAAAAAGGTTTCGATGCTAAGTATTTAAGTGGTTACAGATTAGTATCTAGTTAATTATTAAAAAGTCCGAATATATCTTATCTACTAACTGGTCTGTGTAATATAATAGTAACGTAGATGTCATATCAGTGTGAGCCGGGTTTTAACTCTATGGTAATGCGTTTGGTATCCAGCTATAGATTTTGGTATGTGTGTAGCGGTGAAAATATATGCATGCCTAAGACCCAGATATCTAAAATCTATATGGCTAATTATCTATACCATTAAAAGTAATATAATTAAACAGGTCTGTAGCTACCCATAAATGGTTGTAGCGCCACTAGTTTATTTTTATTAATCTATAGTAGAAAATAAATACCATTTATTCATTGTAAAGGGGTTTGTTTGTAATTAATAGTAAAAAATATTGATGGATTTTATCTTTATTTTTTATAATATTTATTACCTATGTTTATATTTAAATGTGTATGCTATTTTTGGCTGTGATGTATTGTGTAATTGTATAGGTAGCTGTAGGAATATTCAAAATAAAATTACAATTTCCATACTACCTCCCTCGGATAAGCACTAAAGCTGGCCCGGCCAAAATAATAAACGGCAAAGATATATCCTTCCTCCAACTTTGATTTTGTTCCCTTTGGGGCAGTGACTCTTGGGCCATGGAGTGTAAGTGCACAGACGCTAATTAAATATTTAAGTTGGTAGGTAGATAGTATCCTTGACCAGAGCTGATGCTTTCCTCGCAATAATAATAAATATCGCAATACAGCGAGGAAGTGCGCCCAGCATTAAAGGTGCCACGGGACAAAACTTTTAAATTAGTTTTCTATTGATTTACTATTTTTACGTGGGTAACACTGAAAATGTTTAGAATTGGCCAGTTAGAAACATTGCTAATGAAAACGTTTTTTTGAATTTCAATTTAAGAACTCTTTGGTAACCTAATTTAGTATATTGCATTCATTTGTCATTCGTTTTTGTGAATTGGCGGCAAACATAAAACTCTTGTTACACGTGAAAATGAACCTAACGCGAGAAAATTTTCGGTCAATGATTTATTATGACTTTCGTTGTTGGTTTACTCAACAACAAAGCTATTATAGGCTGCGATTAGCATTTCTTAATGAAGCCCCATCTCGTGCCACTATTTACAATTAGTTTAACGAGTTTATGCGTGGACGTAGCAATCTCAATGATGATCCGCATGAGGGACGTCCTTTAACAGCGACTACTGAAGATAACATCAGTGCTGTGCGACGCATGATAGAGGAAGATAAGAGAGTGACCTATCAGCAGATACGGGCAAGCCTAGGCATTGGTATGGGTCAAGTTCAAAAAATATTACACGGAACATTTAGGCGTCAGGAAGCTTAGTACCAGATGGATCACCCATACTGTAACCGACGACCAGGAACACCTTCGCATGGACTTGTGTCGCCAAATGCTGTATTTGACATCGTCACAGGTGATGAAAGTTGGATATATTGATACGAACCCAAAACAAAAGATAATATTCGAGGTATTCGCTTTACGAGCCCAGAAGATGCGGTGAAAGCGTACGAAAATGCCATAGAATAGACCCCTAAGGAAGAATGCGCCCACTACTTTTCTCAGTGGTTCCATCGAATGCGACGATGTGTCGAGAGGAAGGCAAAAACAATAAAAGTATTGGCAACTTTCTACATTAAGCCGTTTTTCATTTTCTAAAAATTTTCAGTGTTACCTAGGTATTAATCATTTTTTATATAAATAAGTATCTAGTCATTAATTAAATTGACGATTTCCCGGAAAATCTGTCCAATTTGCTTAATTCGAATGACGCTATCACCGACATAATACAGCTCCGAAAGGAAGGTAGTTAGTATGACAAAAAAATAATTGCATGTCAACCCGCATCGAACCGTGTCGTAATTACATAGCAATTGAAAGAGTAGTTTCACCATTGTGATATAATCACATTAATTTTGTCTTGAAGGCCACGAATACATCCGAAAATATCCGGACACCCAGATAGACAAACATACCATAAATGTATTCTTGTTTAAAAAATTAAATTTATATTTAGTAAGGACCCGTAGCGATATATCAGAGTCAAAATCACATTCATACGATAATGGCACCTATGCCTTATTACAGGTGTACTTTCCGTTAGAAATTCGCTTGGGTTTTGATCATCATATTAATAATACTAACGTGAAATATTTCAAAGAGATTTTTTGAACGCCGTTTAATGATCAACATAGACAAAATCGAAACAACTATATCATATACTTGTATATGGAATAATTATATATTCGCATTGACTTTTAAGCAATTCTAATACGATTTAGTCGTTGTAATTTATACCTTAATACAAAGCAATAAAGACGCAGTATTTATTGATTTTAAAGTAAATGAATTCTAGCTCACAGTGGCTACGTCTCATGACAATCTCAATAAGTTAACTTTAATGTATGCCACTAAGAAAATATAGTTTGCGCAATGCTTAATTAAACTTGCGAAAACAGCGGGTTTAACAAGTACATAGTTCATTTGACTAAGTCACAACTTACTAGCAGCCTCTAGGCTTTGAATGACTGGGAATTAATTTAAAATTTTTTTGCCTATGTTACTCAGGGATAATGAGACAGATCGTAGACTGACAGGTGGTTCAAGGCTGGTATGTCGGTCTCCGGTGACCCGGAACCGCAGGTCGTGATTGAGCCTTCTATGTTGGGTAAGCTATAAGCCTATAAGCTCGGGTCCCTTGGGTTCCTCCTTTCATTCAATCGCCAGGTATTCTGCCTGGCGCACTTTGAGGGTGCATCTTATGGACTTGTGAAGGGCTGAGGTGTTTTTAGTGCGTGGGGTCTCGCTACCTCGCGTAGTCGCGTTGTCCTCGCGTCAAGCTGGATATATCCATGGCGCGGGCCTGCGTAAGCGCATTTTGACCTCATAAAAAATCACTACTGGAGTGAGTTTTCAAGTTTATTCATATACAGAAGAAAAATACAAATATATAATCTTTATTCGTATAAATACTCAAAGCTATAATACTATGTAGGTACGCTATCAATCTGAACAAAATGTCTTAACGAAAACCTTGCCAATCTTATAGATTGACAGAAAACAAAAGCG